CATAATACTTTTTTACGGAATTGAAAATATGTTAAAAAGAAACGTAATTTTCGTGTTTACATTAAAATACAGCGCTTGAAGCTCGTTTAATTTTACCAGAGCTGTTAAAGAAACCACGAGCCACTAGATACTAATGAGATCTAATTAAAGTCAAGTGTATTTTTCCAGTAGATTAATAAAATTATGGAAGCTACCTCGTAGCGCTTGTAATAACCTGCTATTTATTACAGTCGTGTTTTGTTGTACTACTGTTACGGAAGGAGGTTTTTTCTTAAAGACAAGACAGCGTGAAGTTCCCTTATCATCCAGCAAAATTGTGCTGTCGGTTTTGGCTAAGCCAACAATCAGAAATCCAAATAAAACCGAATACACATCGTTGATTGTTATTATCCATACATTGGTAAATAACAATCAGCAATATTTGACAAAATGCATTAAAATACGACAAGCTGTCGTAATATTCTTTAATTGAAGTTTAGTAAGAATAATAATTAATTACTAAACTAAGAAGATACGCAATACTGCTTGGCTATTGGGTTAAATCTTAGAACGTGTTACACCTAAACCTAAGACTCGTATACAAATTGTGCTGACTAATCACCTCTGCTGTTACACATTCAATATACATAATGAAAGCCGGTCTCGTCATTAAATATCGTTCAATATGTAACATCGTATCTCATGTGGCGACCTTGCAGCGCGGATGTGCGCTAATCTCCGCCGGCGATAGTGTTTTCTAATATCTATTTATTGTTTCTCTTTCGCAATTTGCCCACGACAACACATCAGTCAAGTCCGCGGCAGAAAGGGTTGACAGTGCCTCGCTCAACTTTTACCTTCTTTCTTCTTCTCGTTTGACTCAATTTCCATTTTCTCGACTCGAATTTATAATATAAGTAGCAGACGAATTAATTGAAAATGGAAAAGCCGTCAAGTGTAGAGGAAAAAATATTATGAACACAGTTTATAATATTATTATTCAATTACGCATTCAAGTTTACTTCCATATTGTTATAAAGACATTTTATATATAGTTGTGCATTTCTTTCCTTTTATTTTAATACGCAATCGTCCTATTTCATTAGTTTAAGTTGTTTTTTTTTTATTTAAGTTTTGCTTGGTTAGATATACAAACCGGTTGAGCTAAAATGTGTTATCAGCTAAATTAAGTAAGTTAAAAAAGTTTTAAAATTAAACATCCCGCTACCACTATGCAAAATATTTGTATATTTTGAGGCTTAATGATGGTATTTTGACGTAGTTTTAGAAGCAACAAAATACATTTAAGATGACTGTTTTACCAAGTTTTCATAATTACAGCTTATTACGATATAGAAGGAACAAAAATGAAGCCGGAGGAATTTGTGCAAAAGCAAACTTATAACAAAAATCTTAATTATTCACTAAAACACAATACAAATATAATAATATGTACGTACATAACACACCCATACTTAACTATGTACGTATTTGTTTGCATTGCTGCACACATTGTAGATATTGGATGAACTCATCGCATACCATTACGACATTTCGAGAGAATATTAAACATCTTATACGATTCAATACCTAAACATTTTAGGTAAACTAATTTTATGAAAAGAAAGTTTTTAGAACTAATCAATAATTTCTCTACTGATCATTGAATCTGTAAAGAAGAAAGGGGTTACTCTTCTATAATATTGTCAAAAATCACAGTTTTTGCCAAAAATTTACACTTTTCGACTACCGATGGTATCATGGAATAGCAAGTGCTAAGTGACCCCTTGGCCTTGTCACGTACTGAGATGGAACGATTTGTAATACTGTCTATTGTCTAACGACCTCCACTTAGTCCCCACTAGTACGTGGGCAGAAATTGAGCTGACGTCATCATTGTATTGGTAATGCCGTAGTCCTGTCATTGACTTTAGGCCTTTTATTTAGTCGTTTTAAGATTTTAGCCAGCGCTAAACAACAATCATCATTTTTATTATCTATTCAGTAAAGTATTGATGCAGATAAAAAATACTCTTATAATATTTCCAAGAATTACATCTAAGTCAAATGACTTTAGAACAGTAAATCGGAAAAAAGGAATAAGTTCTTAATAAACGGCGTTGGCACAATACCCGCGTTAGGTTAGTTCGATATCATGACCGGGATTCAACTAGTACCCCTCGTCTAAAAGTCTGTGACAGTTAGGAGTTACATGAAAAAACCCAAAGCAGATAAAAACTTCAGTTTGGATATAGACTGAGGTGCTTCATATACTATCGAACTAACCATTTCTTTTGTAAAAAATAATTCAATAATATACTTTCATCGAGTTTTTAACCTTTAACAATTTATTAATCCTTCTAGTAAAAACTGTCTGTAGTTTACGCAAGTAGTACACATTGGAATAAAACACTTTAACGGATTAAATTATTTTTAATAACGGCACGACAAACCCGAAACGCCGGCTAGTTTAACTATATCATATCGCGTTTTAAACCGTTAAAGTTTTTTAATCCTTCTAATATAAAAACGCGGAATTATAGTGATGTAATCATAACATGTTTATACAACAGCTAACAGTAAGTGTAGAATATTTAAAACCGCATAGTTGCGCGTTGTGTATGTAGGATTAATAAGAGAAATACTTAACTATTCTAATAAATAGAAAACGAGTGGTTCTGGCAAACAAAAACATTAATAATAATAATGGTTTTATTCTGAGCCTACTGGATGCTAATGTCTTGTAACTTTGTCTTTACAAGTTAATTACAGACAATTATTCATTGTCTGTGATTACCACGAGTGCTTCACATTAAACAAAACAAAACGTTTTATAATAACGCCGTGTTCGGCCCATGCCTCAAGACAAACTAAAATGCCATGCGGTATTAAAACTTTTACTTTTACTATCAATTGAAAACCAATAAAAAAATTTTTTATACAGATTCTTGTTCAATAATATAAGATGGTCTAACGCAAGTGTCGAATTGTTTGTTTACAATATCAAAGCAAGGTACTGTGGCTTTAGACGCCTAAGAATTTCTTTGAAGGTTTTAACTTCAAAGCAGTATACAAAGGCTTTGTCAAACGGATCATGATTGAGATCGACTCGAGCAAAAATTCATTTTGTTAATTGGATTGGTGTAAAGCCCGTCGTCTGAAAGATAGCGACACAATCGAATGAAATCGATATTTTTTGAGTAACATTTCTTTCAGGAAAAGGATCTCTACGGTGCTGTAAACTTAAACGTATCTGTTACTTCGGGCAAACATTTAAAATATTTTCAAAACTTTCTGATTTCAAGTGACCAAAGAATCACACGGTTTAAATAGGTTATAGGAGCATAAAAGAAGCACGAATAACACAGAAGAAGACTTAACAAAATAGAGAACAGAGATATTGCTTCAAGAAATGATTCGTATTTTTATTCTATACAGTTCTCGCTTCACCGCATTTCAATTACTGTTTTTATATCTAGGTAGACCGGACTACAGCCACCTAATTAAACCAAGCAGAAAGCAGTTCAAGCTGGCCCATTGCAAATTATCCCAGACGCTTCTCGAAAATTTTAAAAGTATTTCTTAATACACGACCAAAACTTTTCGCGTTCCACTTACAGTCGGTCTTAAGAAAAATTAATTAGAACGGTACATTTTTGTTTTCTGGAGCGTATGCCTAACCCATTGTTGAAAAATGTTACGCCCATTACTTGAAAGGCCTCATGAGCTATATAATAGAAATGCAGGGATTCTATTCAAGGACGGCTCTGGTTTCTCCGATTAGCTTATTTATGCTGCAGACACCCTAATTAATGTGCTCAAACTTTACGATTTACCGATAAGAGATTAAAGATGCAAGGCTTAACGAAATACTGTTAGTAATGGATTGTCATTCTTCTCAATCAAATCTTGGTGGGATTGCAAAAACTAGTTTGCGAATATAGTGTCGTTTACTTTGAGAAGCACGGCGTATTGCAGAAACGGGCTATTCGAGCGATTTGTGGTCTTTCCCCACGAAAGTCTGTCTGAGATAAATTTAAATCATTGAATAAACACCCTAAAATATGTACGGAAGAATGATTCCTCTATGAAGGACCTAAAAAAATGTCCACGGCACTATGTGCGTAGCTTTTACAATTAACTTGCAAGAACGACGGGACCCGAACGATGGGTCACGAGCGACGGGCCGCGACCGATGTCGTGGACAGTTTGAATTTATAAAGATGTAGACGTTTCCAAAAAACATTCAACGCGGACGAAGTCGTTGACACGGCTAGTACTAGATAAGCATTCTGTACTTGGCTGTGTACCTACTACTGCTTACGACATTGCGAAGTTATTTAAAAGTGTAACTCCAATTCAAATGTCAATAAAAGTTTTTTATTTTTCCTAATTATTTTTAACTCTCAAAGAAGGAGCGTTACGTCTTGTGCGCGTAAAATTGAAAGTGCGTTTTTATTCTGGTATTGCGTATAAGTATGATTTCCTAACTTTAACTTTTTGAAACAGGATAAATATAATTAAGAAGAAGGATGAGCTATCCAAGATTCATATGAAGCCATTAAAAGTTTCCCGTCACAGCCAGGGGGACAATAAAATTGTGATCCTTGACCTAGTTCACTTAATGGAATTCTAAGCCGGAGTAATTACTCATGCTCTGGAGATTCAAATGATATTTAATGTTTACAATTAATCGTTTATAAGTCATATTTCTTAAAATAACGTAAAACTTGTCAGAACAATATTATTTAAGTGTAATGTGGTGTAAGTGTATTTCTTACGTCAAAATATTTGATTTATTAGACTTAATGTCCTAATATAAATGAAGACCAGCAGCGAATATAACACATTTCACATATTAGGTATTGTAACAGTGCATAATCTTATCTAGGTACTATCAGTTCAATATCAGCGTAACTCAAACCGACGAAGCCTCGACTTATTGACATCTGACGGTCAGACGACCTACTAAGAGGCATAATAAAAGTAAACTTCTAAGCCCGTAACTCGGTTAGGAGATTATGTTTATTGCGCTAACCGATGACACGGCCAAGGCCGCTGACGTAAGCGTAACAGAACCGCGAACTCAAATAATTTTAATACTTTCACTACTAAAACTTAAATGAATACGCACGTCCTCAAGATTTCAACAGCAAACGGGCTAAATGTTTGGGTGCGTAGAGATGTCATGTCAACAGACCGTTAAGTTTACACAACATTGTGCACGCGAGCCACGTCCCTGCGGCAGGCGACAGACTAAGTAACTATGAAAGATCATATTCTGTTAAGGAGATGGAGACGAGAGAGGCGCGCCACATACCTTTTTAACTTGAAAGTGCTCTGGACGCAGCGTCTCCTGTATCTCCTGCTCGGTGCCGCGCGGAGCAGCCTGCACTGAGCTGCGGAACCCGTCCAGAACCCCCTTGAAAGTGAACTTCTTCATCACGAATCAAAAATCGCGATTTCTTTGTCCGAAGGCCGCTCGCCCGCTGGCCCCGGCTACATCACAGCCGTCCGCCGCGACAGCGAGTCGGTTTTGGCAGAAGAGAGGTCGGTCTCTCCCGCGCTGTTACTGCGCAGGGCAGTCCGGGCCGCCGCCGACGCCGACACGCGTCGAGGATCGACGAAAACTAGGCGAGGCACCGCCTCCGGAATGTACAGCAATGCGGTCTGGCCACCGATCGATATGAGAACGACGACACACGCGCACTACACAACACTGACACTCGCCGTCACACGAGCTATCGCGTACTGGCTCGCTGAGACAGAAGTATATAATCCCGTTTTGAGTCGAAAGAGGCCGACTTAACGGATCGATCCAAACGCACGTGCTACGGAAAGAGATAAAGACATACTGCGTATAATATAATGTTTATAAACCACAATAAAACGGCGGCAACACACCTTACAGGCGGAGCAATCGAACACAACACAGCTGATACGACTAGGTTTATACTCATTTCCCCCTGTTGTCCGAAGATGGCGTGTGTGTAGCAAAACAAAAGTGGCAATTTATTTTATTGGCTAAGGTATTATATATAGGTGACGCTACTGTCATAAACAAGTATACAATATGATAATATAGTAGTATATATGAATAAGTTTTAGCAATGAACAGCTAGTGATAGGAATTATTACTATTTTTTTTTAAATTTCGTTTATGAAGATCTTTAAAACAACACAATATATAAGAATTTTATGGAACTTCATAATGTATATATGGATCATCCGTTGGTGCATCTTTAAATGCCTTAAATGTTAATGCTATATTTAAAAAAAATGTGTAAAGAGTGAGAGACCACTAAGTATAATAATATGACATATGTCGATGATAATGACAGGTGTCAATTCACATAAAGGTTCAAAAAAATCTGACTTAGAAACAAGTTGATGAAAAGTTAAAGGACCTTTTTATGTAGCGAAAGCGGAATAATAACCGCTATTTCTAAAAATGTCGTACAAAATAGCATTAAGAAGTTTCAAAACCCTCTCGTATGTCGGAGGCTATAAGAAAATTAGAGAGCGGCATTTAAAGTAAGTGTTTCTAGTTTTGAAAATACATTATTCCAATAACCCCCAATCCCCCATTATTAACAATGTATTCAATTTACTTATATTTCATAATAACAAAATAGAATCTACTCCATCCGTACCAATACATCTTTTTGAGTTTTAGAATTTATGAAGCTAACACACTTGATGTTTTCTTATCAGATAAAGTATTAGTATCCAATACACATACTAAGATGATTTTAAAAGAATTTATGAATTATATAACTATAATATTTATACAGTCTTATGCCACCAAAATACAGGTTCAGTGTAAGATACATAAATTAACCTTGAATTAAGAAGTTGCTCATCGCATGTGAATTAGTAATTATTTCTGAAACTAGGTTGTTAGCCTTAACATTAATTTATTTTAGGCCCTAGCTATGTTTGAATAGCTATTGTTTGATATTTGTAGAACACACTGCGCTGCAGTCATTGGTGTTGGGTACATGGTTTACAAACAGCAGCAAACAAATCAAGCTGAAATGAAAGAAATTATGCAATTTAAGAATTATATGGCTGAACCGATAACACCGGTCAACCAACTAGAAAAAAACCGAGATGATATGAAGACACAGATGGAACTGATGATTATGAGAATACAAGCAGAATTCTGCAGAGCCTTGGAAAAAGAAGAAGATGAGGTAATGATGTTATTTCTAAAAGCAATCATTTCTAGTCACTGTATGTTTTTACTAATTAGAAAATAAATATATAAAAGTAAAGATATATATATAAAAGTAAAGATTTTTTCATTGTAGGCCTGGCTAGAAGAAAAGAGAGATGAAGATTTAGATTACGACAGTGACTTATTTGTACCATATCCGGTATGATTATGTCTCCACACAAAGATCTATCATTATTTTAATTGCTTTATTGTTTCTTGACTGTAACTAATATTTTGGAGTAATGAAATAATAGTTTTAGATAGTAATTAAAGTACATACTAACTACTAAAAACTGTATTAATTAACTTGGACTTTTTCTATTATGAAATTCAATAGAATAAATACAGCCTAAGATGTAATGTATGGTACTTTTTAGGACGCCAAATTCCGAGTAGATAGATGGACTCGTAAAGAGGGTGGTGGAGGCATTACTTGTGTACTTCAAGATGGCAGAGTCTTTGAGAAAGCTGGAGTTAATATTTCGGTTGTTTCTGGTAAACTACCACCCGCTGCTGCTCAACAAATGAGAACAAGGTTTAAAACAAAAAAATAGTTTTTTTTTTTTTTATTATTTGAATATTCTATGACACCACTAATAATATTCAAAGCACACACGTTATAATTTTATTAGAGAGATATTTTAGAGACATTATCAATCTTAAAATACCATCTAACATCTCTTATTTCTTACAGGGGGAAGAACTTTGATGGTAAAGAATTGCCATTCTTTGCAGCGGGTGTGAGCGCTGTCATTCACCCAAGAAACCCCATGGTTCCCACAATACACTTTAACTACAGATATTTTGAAGTTCAGGATAAAAATGGTAGGATAATATAACAATACATATTAAATAAATAAATTCCTGTTATTGATTTTTTATATACTCTTGAAGGTGTCCAGTGGTGGTTTGGAGGTGGCACTGATTTAACACCATATTACTTGAATGAGGAGGATGCAGTTCATTTTCATCTTACGCTAAAACATGCCTGTGACGCCCACGACAAATCTTACTATTCAAGGTATAGTCATAATTTTGCCAATGAGCTAGTATTAAAATTTATTAAACTGTTAATATCTTTGTATTGTTTTCACAAATATCTTTTTTAAAATACAAAACACAGGTGATTATTTTAGTGACTTTCACTTCTACTTGATACCTCACTTATTAAAATAATTTCTGTATGGTTAAGTGGAACATATAAACATATGTATGCCCTAATATATATATAAAAATATGATATTGACACATCCATACAAAGACTGACAATATTCACAACTAGGTGTGCCTGCATAAAGCCTTCCTCAGTAAATGTTCCTATCATCACAAACAGAATTATTAAATAAGAAACAATACTTCCTGACCTTTACACACCAAACAAACAAACTCTTTAGCTTTATAATATTAGTATAGATTTTTTATGTATAATAGAGTAAAGTTTGTTTAACCATACCATAGTTATTAGATATTTGTAAGTTTTTTACTGTTTAAGGTTTAAAAAGTGGTGTGATGACTACTTTACTATTACCCATCGAGGAGAGAGACGTGGTGTGGGAGGAATATTCTTTGATGATGTGGACCAGCCAGATCAACAGAGTGCATTTAGCTTTGTCACATCATGTGCTGAAGCTGTTATACCCAGCTACATTCCTTTAGGTAATAGCACTAATATTTTGCTTAACATTAAAATAAGTTTGTCAGACGAGTAAATTAAGTGTATTAATGTTTGTTCTTTAATATGTTTTCAGTGCAAAAACATAAAGATGATCCATATGGTTATCACGAGAGACAATGGCAGTTGTTGCGTCGAGGACGATATGTGGAATTCAATCTCATCTACGACCGAGGAACAAAGTTTGGACTTTTTACACCTGAGGCCAGATATGAATCCATATTAATGTCACTTCCTTTAAATGCGGTATGTTTATTTCGTGTGTTATTATTTGGTTCTTTTTTTTTAATATTCCATCTACTAGGAGATGAGTACAATACAATACAGATTTGTTTGTTGTTGATATGCATATTTTTTAACGCAAGTAGCGCTCATAATTATTATTTTTTGTTTTCAGAAATGGGAGTATATGCACGAACCTACGGCAAATTCTCCAGAACATAAATTAATGAGTGTCCTTAAGGAACCAAGAGACTGGCTCCAATTGGATCAAACGCATGCCAGGACATCTTAAATCACATAATTTTAAATCGCATTATTCTCGGGTGGTGTATAATATGTTTTGTATATATTTTATAGAAAAGGGTTTAAAAATAAATTATTTACAATTTCAGCTTTGTTTTACTATCTTTAGTTACACATATACAGCAGTGCCTGCCATACGATAATTTTATCTCTAAAATTTACCTAAAAAACTAAATGCAAAGATATAATATTGATATTCATGCTCATTCAAGTTTAGTATTAGTTTGCCCCAACCCATCGACCATAGATTATTAACGGCGATGTCTGTCATTTGTCAGTAATATTTGTCATCGCTCGCTGTAACACGGCTATATGGCCTACAATGTTGTGAATTTTTAGAGCTCAGTGTTTTATTTGTTAACCACAATGTTTCTATGAACACTTTCTATTTACATAACAAAGATTTGGGGAGTTAAAATACGTGTTTTTTATTACTGAAAATAATTCTTATTGAGTTATATATAACCGAAATATGTGGCGCGCATAACGGATACTGTTCTTCAACATTATTCGTCCATAAATGTATACGTAACGTTAGGTTCGTGATGTTTATACTAATTAGACCCGGCTAGTATAAAAAATGCCTTTCAAGTTAAAATTAAAAAAGACTAGGCAGTACAATGTGGCATCTAAAAGCTTATTTGTGATAAGTGTCGAATTGCTCGATGGCGGGGTAGCAGACTGCACTCTCTCTGTAGACAGCACGGGACAGGAATGTCTGGACAATGTATGTCAAAGGCAAGCAATAAATCAACCAGAATTTTTCGGTTTGCGCTATATCAACCGTAGTCAACTATCAAGATGGGTGCAATTGGACAGACCCTTAAAACGCCAACTGGAAAAGTACTCCTCGGCTCACCAGCTTTACTTACGAGTTATGTACTATGTCATATCAGGTACGAGTCTCATTTCGGATGAAGTGACGCGGTACCACTACTTTTTACAATTGAAGAATGACTTGGTTGAAGGCAGAATTATATGTGATTGCCAACAAGCTGTGGTTTTAGCTTCTCATAGTAGACAAGCTGAATATGGTAATCATGACCGAGAAAGACATACTGTGGAGTACTTAAAAAATTTGTTGACTTTTCCAAAGCAGATATTGGATAATGGTCAGATAATAGAGAGCAGTACTTTAGCAGAGAGCGGTAGACTGGAGTGGCTAACGGCAGCAGTTATACAGCATCATATGTCTCTTCATAATATGTCACAGGTAACTCGGAAGTGTTTACTACTCCTTTTTTTATATCACAAAGAACCAACATACATGGGGTGTACTTGACCAAAGTTGAAATAGCCCAGCCATATAACATCTAAACAAGATATGCCAACAATATATACACACTTGACTTTGTATATTCGGATTCTTTAAATTTGGATCCATGTTGTAATTTGCAATAATATTATTATACAAAGAGTATGTTTTTTATCTAATTTAAGAGTTGCCCAACATTTTTAAGTACATTTGAATATACAATAATATAGTCATAGGCAGTATATTGAATATGGATATTTTCATTATAGAATTGTATGATTCATATATTTCTAGGCACACCTAACACCCAAATATGTATATAAATGATTAGGTCATTAAGTATGTTCCTTTTAGAGTTGTGAATGTTTATCACTTATCACTCAGATAACGCAATTCAGTGACACAATGTTTAAAATATTAAAATAGATTATGGTTGATATTTTATTTACATTGGTGTGTCTGGTCATTACGACTATCACCAACTTTCGTAATAGTAAAAAGTAGGTTGTGCAGATTATAAATTTACTGATACACAAGCACGATTATTCAAGGAATAAGTTGTATCTGTTATAGTTTTATGACATTTCATTAAATATCATAGGCTCAAGCAGAAGAAGGTTTCATCACAACATGTCAGCAGCTCCGAGGATATGGGCAGGAGATGTTTACTGCAAAAGACCAACGAGATCAGAGCGAAGTGACTATAGCTATTTCCCTCACTGGGATTCGGGTTCTTTCTGACAGTAGTGACACTCCACACTTCTATCGGTAAGTATTGTTCACAAACACAGTGTTAAAAAAGAGTTATTCATCTGTAATTTTTAAGATTTACCAATATATCGATGTCTTGAAATCAGGTGGATGGACATAACCAATGTTATAAATCACAAGCGAACATTCAGCATCGAATGTCAGAAGCAAGGGGAATCGGCATCATACGCTTTGCCCAGCCCTGAGGACGGAAAGTATGTCTGGCGAATGTGCGTCCACCAGCACACCTTTTACATGCGGCACCAAGCTGCCCTCAGCGCGCCCAGGGACGAGCATCGGCCGAAGTTTCAGGTAACAGTGCAATCAGAAAAAAAATCTTTAACATTATTAAATTTTACACACTAAATAACCTCACTTCAGTCTTGACTAGTGTTAGTTTACTTTTAAATCGATTTTTGATTTTAAACAAACCGTGGTTAAATCATACCAAAAAGTCATATACTTAAAGTTACTTTTACTATCAGTTTCTATCAAAAGATATAAAAATGAAATCCCGTTTCTTCAAAACAGAAATACTTACGTGATCGATAATACAGGGTTGTATTTAAAGCAGATACTAGGCATTGAGCTAAGAATACATGTTATTAGGTGATTACGTATAAATTTGATTAATTCGCTGCGACGTTGTCCAAGTCCTGCTGCAGCCTTGAGTTAAATTTATAGGCTTTCCGGTTCTAATTACAAATACGGTTTTATTAATGTCAAGAGTCCGGCAGTTTTCGCCTTCAGTATTAGGCAAGTGTCTAACTTGTACAGTACAACGGAAATAAGTGATGAAGAACCCGTAAATAAATTTAAAAAATAATAATTCAGTCGTTTAAGATAATCTGTGAAGTTTAATTGTTATTGATTATCCGGGTAGTATTACTCAATCACGAAACTTAGCACTGAAGCAGACTGTAGCAGCTGTCTGTCATCGTCACGCTGGTGCGATAAAATCGGTTTTCACAATTTATTTGCTTAATTTTCACAAGTTAATTATACATATCTGCATGAACATACAATACGTGTCATACAAAGCTTTAATACAAGTAGATCATTATGTATTTTTAATATTATTTCTCATGAGCTGAGAGAGAGAATTCATGAGCTAAGAGTAGTAAAATTCTGTTTGCCCTCGTGGGGCACAGAGCGGACACATTTCTGCGTCCGCTTCACTGATCGGTTTTATTTACAGGCAAGTAGTCGATCAAACTTCTGATCCCCGACCGAAAGAATCTATCTTTTCTCAGGGATTCGAACCCAATGCCTCTCGCGCTTAACGCAATGCTAGGCAACCCTTTGGCTACAGTGGCAGTAGCCAGAGAGAGCATTTAGTTTACATTATAAACAAACAAGTGTTTATTTTCAATATTCTTTCTCCATGTCCCTCCCAGGGTTCTGGAAAGATCTATTCGCTAAAATTCCGTGATACTATTAAACAATTTGATCTATGTTTTCGGGGAGTAAAATACTTTAACAATCGATTATAAGAAAGTAAACGAAAATCCAACCAAATGATCTAACCGAACTATGGATTTGAAGTTTTAACATTGCGTTATTTATTTGTTTAAATACACCAACAACAACGCTAAAACATTACCTCACATGTTTATGGCTTCTTAATAAAGTTTACAAACAATTAAAGAACTGATGAGTTACAAACGAAATAACTATACGCGGTTTGACTGTCTGCTGTACGTAGCTGCTGAACGTGCTGCATGTAGTTTTAAACAAGAATTTAACACCAGGAAACCACCAGGAAGCGTAAGGTGTTTATCATGAATCAGCTAATTCACAGACGGTAAATAAAGGTTTATGTTTCGTGAATACAGAACGGTGCTATCTAATCAAAATATTTTTTGGCGAAAAAAAATCAAACAAGACTGTTTTATACGTTAGTATTTTCCTTTGTTTTTTATTTAATTTAAAAAGACGCTTTATGTTTTTTTTTATGATAGAGGAGGACATAGACTTTACTTAGAAGGTAAAAAACCTAGTCCACGTAATACCTAAACATGACACGCTGTGGACTTCATATTTTGCTAACCAACCATACGAAATAGCTACCTAATGTTTGATTAATACGATAAGCGGTTGCGTTCATGAAGGAATAGAGCTATGTTCGTGCACAATTTGCAAGCGCACTCGAGTGTCAAGTGCAATGGCGGTAATTATCTCCGCACTGCAAATAGACGTACACGTTTTTGCGCGACTGCTAACAGTTCCACATGATTCCACGACTAATTCTCACTATATTGTCTCGAGTTCGCTTTCATATTAATGCTGTGTTTGATTGGCATTTAACAAAAACATCGAATACTGTTGTTTGAGTGTCTACATACTTTTAATCTTCTTACATTCTTCCTGTCTCTTTCAGGAGCACGGACTATCAGAGAGTCGTGAAGAGCTGGACGTGAGGGACATAGGTAGCACGTCGCGCTTGGAACCACTTACTGCTGCTCACAGAGCACATTCCACTTCTTGTTTAGAACTAGCTGACCATAGGGCTCAGCCTAGGAATAGGTTCGTTACTTTTCGATAGAAAATATTGTTATACTAAACCTGTTGGACCTGAAAATGTATGGTTCAAGTCTGTGTCTTATGCATACCAGAATTTTACAAACGAATATTGTAAATTTCCAGAGCATTGCCACCGTCATATCGCCCCGCACCCGATTACGAAACTGCGATACAACAAAAGTATCAACAGCAGAGAGCGGAGGCTCAACTTCGGTACCAGAATCATCACACGCACTCCCAACTTTTGAATACCACTGCTCAGCCTCTTGTCTATGGCTCCCACCCGGATATACATCGCATTCATTACCCTGATGTGACTAGGCACACTGTGCCGACCACCCAAGGTCCGACAACTGAGGATTATGCGTATGGCCTTAAGTATGTAGGTAACTATCCGGTAGCTGTAAACCCCAATGTCCAAACCGATCACGCGTTACACTACGTTAACGTATATAAACCTCCCCCACCCTACCCTTCAAACGGCCTAGCCTCCAATTCTACTCCAGACTTAGCCGTCGCTAGCCAAGCTCTTAACTACCACAGAGGTTACATTAACTCTCACGTATCCGGTTCTAGTCCTGATCTAGTCTCTACGAGAACGGCCCTCAATAGACAATACCTTAGTTATGTCACTCCTGGTCACGTCTTGAACTACGGTGGTCCAAACATCCTCCCGGCAACGCATGGGACATACAACAATCTTCCTTCAGTTTTAGATCCTAATTCTCATATTATACTTGACCCTCACCACATCTCTGACAATATACAAAAAGTATACGACGAAAGAGGTAACATAATGTATTCCATGCCAATGCGACGAATATCATACCAAAGGCACATTGTGCTACCCCAAAAGCTAAATGAAACTCAAGAACCGATCTACGAAAACGTTCCTCTACCCTGGCAGAGCGAACAAAAAATACGAGAAAGAGCACAGAGCTTAACGACGACGGACGAAATCAGCAGATTAAACGAGAAAAATAGCAGTTATCCCGCTATCAATAACTACGGTCATATTAATAATGTCGATTACGCACCCAAAATCGACGACAGCCATTACGTTAACGCACAAATAATAAAAGGCGTGCGAGAATCTAGCATGCCTAAAGAATTAAACGTCTCTAGTCGATCCATCAACAGAGAGTTAGATAACGGCCTGTCTATTGATGGACTATCGATAAAAACAGACGAAAAAGATTACGATGAAACCCCCTATCAGAGTCTGTCGACGCATAGAGTGTCAAATAATAATACGATTAGCAAATCGATGGATAATGTTACGTCGATAAATGTGCCCGACATTAGAGTGGACACCTCTCAGACGGACAGTGCTCTATCGAGTTCTATAATAAACTCGACCTACAGCACCAGCGTGGAGCTCGATGCGAGTAAATCTAGTAACAAGGAGAAAAAAAGGCGTAGGTGGGGAATGTTTATAGGACGCAGTAATAAAACGGAAGTGAAAAGCGCTACTTTAGGTCGCGATCGTGCAAAAACCGGTCAGCAGACTAACAAGCACCGCTGGTCAACTGGCTTGCCTAAGAGTCAACCACTTCCGCCGAGCATTACCAAAGAAACGTTGGTACGTATTTTTCTAAAGCGAACTTCTTTTTGTATAGTATAAATATACGTCATAGGTAAAAGTTATATCTTATTATTTTCAGTGCCAATTACTAGAACGCAAGATGTCGGATGACCACTTGTCGTTCTCGTTCGAACAAGTCCCTAAAGGACGAGAGATAGAAGGGGAATACAAAACAGCCCTTTTATCGCAATATTCGGCGTACAACAACGGGGACTCGCTGCCCTATGAAGACAATAGGGTACGGCTGCATCCCACTTCCGATAACCCTCACGGATACATCAACGCGTCACACGTTACAGTACGTTACTTTATATACTTATTTGTATTTAAATTATGTTATATCCTTTATCGTAATATCTCTTTATTGAGGAATTATATTTATTTTAAATTAGAGAAAAACTACCTGAAGAAGTTTCAAAATTGGCATCAAACATATCTAAAAATACTATGCAACAGAATTGCACTAATAAATTGAGCTTCTTGTAGCTTTAAATCTAAAGAGATTTAAATATACTCGGTTGTGTATTTTATCACTGGGATAGGGTGAAAAATAATATCGCAATGTTCTTTATAGATGACTGTGGGCAACTCGCAGCGCTTCTATGTGGTAGCACAGTCTGGCGGTGTGGAACAAGCGGCCCTGCTGTGGGAATGCGTCTGGCAGGTTGGCGCTAGGCTCCTGGCACTAGTCAATACGGAACTACCTAAGTACTTGCCACCAGAACATCATGCCGCAGATTATGGACAGGTGGGTTTTATTTGATGGCAACTGAGTAACTTCTTGAATCTCATATTATAAAGTTGAGGAGGTTGTTGGTAAAAAATAATAATATAATGCTCAAAATAACTATTCCACGCAGACAAGCGGTCTCTGGTTTTATTGTATAGAATGTTTTGTTTCCAGACTTTTCTTTTTAATCTTATAACATTTCGTTACGTTACGTATCTATTTATGGTATAGATTATTTACGATATAAATTAACGTAATTTTTAGTTATTACCTCCACGAACATATTCTTTTTACGATTATTACACAGCATCAACTAAATATACGGATCTTTAAAAATATTATAACATGAAAATTAACTTGAAGAAAGTTCGCACCGTCAATTAAAAATATATGGCTTCAGTTCCAAGTATCCTGTGGAAAGTGGTCTCGTGCCCCTTGGGGCGGATCAGTCCGCGTGCGCTTGCGTCGCGGGCCTCGCGCGAGGCACCTCTGGCACGTACACTACTCGCGATGGCCATTGCATATAGCCGCACCGGAGTCAGACGTATCCGGATTTATAGGTAAATACAGTTTCTATTACATTACAACCTAATTAAATAAAAAATCAACTTAAATGCAATTCTATTCTTTTGCAATTCACTCAATCGTTAAAGACCAATATATAAATCCGTATGAATGTTGTACATAAATATAATATTTCATTACATAAAAGTGCTCTATTTTAAGAATTCCTCTCGGAGCTGAACGGACTACGATTAGCTTGCGAAGCGGAAGCTAACACAGAACAGCTGGCCGTGACGTCACGTAATCCGCCGCTCGTAGTGACATGCGCGCGCGCAACGGGTCGCAGCGGGACTGCTCTTGCCGCCGATCTGTTGCTTCACGTTTTAGACACAAACCAGGTAACAATGAACAAAAAGGGGATTACATACAGTATAGACAGTTTTTAAAAAGGGGATTTATTAAGATGTTTAATTATGTAGAGCCATACTTTATATTCAAACTCTTGTCTTCTTTTTGTCAAATTATTTATATTAGCAAATTCACCATTAAAAGACCTTAACATTGTCTTGTGTTTTAGGAACTAGATATCCCTCGAACCATTAGTCTACTGCATCAACAGCGAGCGAACCTGATAGAGAATGTGCATCAGTATAGATTTCTACACCAAGTATTATTACAATATCTGAAACAATCTAGACTTATATAATAATCATAAAAGATATATCTTCTTATATATACTGTATTCTCAACACAAGTATATTTTTTTATAATACCTGAAAGATTTGAGTATAGGTGTAGTTTAATATTAAAAATGCTGCTACAGCTATCTACTTACTTTTGTTGATGAGTGACGTGTGATGTTTTTTTCTGTAATATACTAAGTAATCGCTTAGTGGGAAAATGAAGAATTTAATATTTTATGCTACAATTCTATGATTATTCATTTAACTATTATGTATAAGTGACTGAACTCGCTGCCATCACTTTGTGTACACTATGCCTGATGTGTACAGCAGTAAATCTTGTTCTTATTTAATTTGTATGTTCTCGTAATGAAATTTTTTAATCCAGGTGTTGAAAACCATGTCATTGATATGTTGCACAAAGTTTTACCCTTATAACAAGATTTTACTGTCAACATACGGAGTTAGAGTAGCACAAAAATATCATCGTTTATTTATAAATGTATTAGACGCGGTAACCAATTGTTTGTAACGAGTAACATTTTAGTGCTAGAGACTAAAACGAAATCATACATTACACTCGATAGACCAATCATTAATCTTAATAGATTTTATGTATGATATAGTGTTTTAGGATAAAGTTTTGTGTCTTTTATAATAATGTTAATGAGTTCAAACCCCTTTTGCCAACCAAGGATCATTCTACTTCTCGGATGTGAAACAATGTGCTAGTTCAGTCCTAACATTCTTTATTTCAGCAATTAAACTTAATTTAAAGATCTAGAATGTAAGAGAAACTACGTGCCTTAAATTGGAGATTATATACGATCTGATATCGTTCTATGTGCCTTTTTATATTTAAACATGAATTATGGTGTTCTTAGTGTATACTTTAATAATGCGATTAAATCTATTGAATTATTCCTTAAGCATGTCCTGAACATGCAAGGACAAAGTGTAATAAGTGGAGATTCATGTCTTCAATGATATTGTATATCTTAACCTATCAGTATTTCAATCAAATTTTTAAATGTATTATTTTGAATAAGTTATATTTATAAAACACTAATTGTTATGTTTTAAGCACATGAATTTTGTAATAGTTGTCTTATAAAATTGTGTTCATTTTAACTCTTATTATCTAGTCTAACAGCAGCTAAAAGTCCTAAAATTTATACAGTTTTTAGGTAACTGTGTAAAACTGATACTTTTTGGAGACTACAGAATTATGCTACATACAATGCTGGCGCAGAATCCATGATAGGCATTGTGAAACAATGTGCTATGGAACATTTTGCTCAAAACCATACCTTGTCTCAATGTTACAATTTGCATGCGAATGCTGTGTATAAACTTGATTATGTATATGAATTGAAAATGGAAATATAAAATATACACAAAATTGTAAATATGTATTATTTTTAACCTAACAACAATTATATTAATATATTTTTCTTAGGTTTGCAAAAAATTCAAAGATCAAAATTCTTTCTATACTTATATTTCATTAAAAAATTATATCCTAACTTGAACATAGCTCTCCGTTACGGTGGAGGATAATAAGGTCTGGGAGGTGGTGGTCCAGGGGGTATAGGTCCCCTTGGGGGCATAGGGCCCCGTGTGGGCATGGGTGGAAAATAATTGGGAGGAGGAACATTAACTGGCGGGAATCTAGTAGAAGGTGGTGGTTCAGCGTACAGAGATAACGGGGGGCCGGGCGGTAGAGGCAGTCGCGTAGGGGGAGGTATCGCAGGTGGAGGAGCAGAGTAAATTGAAGGGTAAGGAGGAATAGGTGCGTAACCAGGATAGGTGAATCTCATGTCAATCTTTGGGGGCTCTAGCTTAGCGTCAGAGCCGTTTTTAACAGGTGTTACTACTGCCTTAGCAACGGTGACAGGTGATGCGGAAGTGGGCGGTGTAACGGAGGGCTTCTCGTTTTTTGGCACAGTTTTGTTACCGAGCTGTGGTGGTGGTGATTCTGCGCCAGATAGTTGTGTCGGCGGCGAATACAAGTCGAGCACCTGAAATGAGTTCACATTTTCTTATTTTTTTTGTAAACTAGTGCTAAATTACATGTATGTTTAGAATATATAAAAAAAAAATGTCTAATCAATAAAACAGAAGACATTTCTGTAATTAGGATTCTGGCTGATTCTACATTTTGTTGATCAGTTGAATTTTTCTCCTCCTTCCCCAGTGGTGGGGGGTAAACATGTTATGTATAGATGGCAAAATTGGGGTAGTAATAAACTTAAGAGTACCTGATGACATATATCTTCGAGTAAGTCCATAGATATGTCTTCAACAAACATGTCCCACCAAGCATTATGTTTAGATGTACGGCCATTCCAATCTACCACTTCAAACTTACTCAGCTTGCCTGCTAAGAACATGAGTGCTACTGCTATCACTTCTGGTTCCCATTGCAGACACAATGTGGTACATAAACTAAAATACAGTAGTAAGTATTAATATATAGGTATATTAAAACTATAGGATTTAATCCGACTGTAAGAAATACTTTGACATTTTACACCACATAAAATAATATTACATTTAGGATTTATATTGTTTAAAAAGTACTAATAATAACCACAATAGAGAGATGAGCTACACCTCCATAAGAGTAAAACATTAAAAAGTTTTATTGTGTTAAAATGTATTTTTTTTGGATATTACTTGTTTTTATATATTTTGCAGTATAAACTTATGATTATTCACTCACCTATCATTAACAAAAGTCCAAGCCATTTGAACCATTTTCTGTAACTTTACTTTTTCACCTTTAAGGCACTTTGCATACTTCAAAAGGTACCCATATGGATGTTCCACCTGCAAATCGAACTTGATTGTCTGCAGCAAGATTCTTTCTAATGTCATCACCTCTTCTTTTGGGTCATCACCAAAAGTGTTAAATTTTTGTTCAGTTAATAAAGATTTAGCCACCTTAATAATATCCTTACACTTCTTTGGCGTCTCTTCCACTTTGCCCGCGAGGAAAAGACAGCAACAAGCTGTTATATATCTGGGGAATGTTCTGAACGAATGGAACATGTAGAAACGATGAAAATAAACAACACCAGTAGCCACTGTATTATAACCTAAGTCCATCTTCGATCCTGTGTCAATGATAAAACGAGCGCCCTCCTTTCGATACCGGTTCTCGGTTTCATTAAGAATTCCATCGCGAAAAGATGGTGTGTTCTGTAAATCTTTTTTATCATAATACCAATAAGGCATAATTATAGTTATTTACTATAAAAATATATTTGATTCGTCACTAACTACCACCGCCATTTATTATTTGCGATGCAAACTGCTAAGCTGTAGCTGTCAATTGTCGTTTCACATGTTGCAGTAAAAAAAAAAAATTGACATTACATGACAGAAATCACGTTGAGAAACAGACTCAATATATAGATAGACTACTGCATACTGCACAAAGTAAATAGATTGTAAATAATGTAATAATGAGAATGTGTTAGCGTAATGATCAAAGTAATGATGGTAAAAGTCATGTTTTTTTTAAAATGATAATTCTCTTGCTACTGTAAGCTTCCAACCCTGTAATTGTAGAAAATTACATGTTAGAATTTTAAGAAAACTTTCCTGGCGGTTCGTCGGCATTAAAGTTATTTAAAAAGTAAATAGGAATGGCGGTTCAAACAATTTAAAAAAAAACATGATAAAAATTGACCTCTCAGCGTAAAGTGATAAAGAGCGCGCCCCTTATCAGACTTGCTAATGTGCCGCTCGTCAGTTGAATGTCGCGTAGTATTAAGACAAGCATAATATCAATTAATATAATATATAATTTCTTTTAATTAAGGAAATGGCATTGCGAAGTGGCCTTAGTTTATTGAGATATATTTCGCTGCGTACTTCGAGTAGGGTACGTATCATATATTTTGTAAATATTTAAGCAAGTCTTGACTAGTTAACTCTTGACTACTTTCACGATATTTAAATATTAGGTATTTTATAGGTTTAGAAAGGTTACTTAACTTCAAGTTTTCGTTTATAACCTGAGTAGTAAAGAAAATAACAATAATAAAACTTTCTTGATGGTATCGATAAACAGCTTTATGCAATTCAACATATACTTAATTACCAATGATTGATGTACGTAAATAAAAGTCTTATTTACGTACATCAATTAATAGATAGTAAATATATTGGAAAGATATAAGGCTACGTCATACATAATAAGTGAATGTTCTACTTTCTATGAAAAAGTTCGAGACTAATAAAACTAAAATAAGATAATTACCTACCACAACTGCGTATAGATAATTTCGCTAAATACCTATTGATTAGATAAGGAAAATTAAATAGACGAAGTTTATTTCTGTTAGACATAGCAGATGTTTGCTGTAAATTTTTTTGCCATTATTATTCCATATCCAGTGGATAATTATAAAACTTCAGTATATATTTGAGAGCATTCACTGACTATTGGACATTCAATTCGATATATTTTATGATCTAGGTATACGACTTCTTAGATCGCAGCTTTGGTTATAACGTAATAAATTGTAGGTATTATCGACACACATAAATCCAGAAATCAATCAAAATGGCGAAAAAACCGCAGAATTTCCTGGTGCAAAAGCTCCCTACGTGACGGAGATGAAGTTCTTAAATGAAAATAGCTATGAATCTATACCTATCTATCGAGTACTGGACAACAATGGAGATGTCATACTTGCCAATGAAGAGCCAACACTTGACAAAGAAACTTTACTTAATATGTACAAGAGCATGGTTCAGCTAAATCAAATGGACAAGATACTATACGAGTCGCAAAGGTAGCTTATTACACGAGTAATTTAGCAATAATTAAAATAATAACAATACGTACTATATACTATCTGTAGTTTACACTTTAACGGTACACAACGCGATACATTATAGTTAAACTTATTTGAAAATCATTTTAAGTACGGCCCGACGTTTCGGATGCTTTGCAGCAGCCGTGGTCACGGGGCAATCAGATTTTAAGAAAATTATACTTACTAGTTAGTTTTGTAGATAACTAAAATATTTGTGGGTACCAAAACTTTTATTGGCGTTTCAAGAAAAAACCACCCTTGAAACTTTTCAATTTCAGACAGGGGCGCATATCTTTCTACATGACTAACTACGGCGAAGAAGGTATGCACGTGGGCAGCGCAGCAGCTCTTTCGCCGCAAGATCTAATTTTTGCTCAGTACAGAGAGGTAGGAGTCCTGCTCTATCGGGGTATGACTATCACAGAACTGATAAACCAATGCTACGGCAACCACGAGGATCCCGGAAAAGGGAGGCATATGCCGGTCCACTACGGAAGTAAACAATTAAATGTAGTAACGATATCTAGTCCCTTGGGTAAGTGAAGGCGGGTTTCTAAAACAAATATACATCGAAGCAAAAATACATAGTTAACAAGATATTTTTTATAAATTAAGCGACACAAATGCCGCAAGCCGTGGGCGCAGCGTATGCTTTTAAAAGAACGCCCGACAATGATCGCTGCGTAATTTGTTACTTCGGCGAAGGAGCTGCATCAGAAGGAGACGCTTTTGCTGCCTTCAACTTCGCTGCTACACTCGACTGCCCCGTTATATTGTTTTGGTAATATAAACATAAATCGTATTGCATGCCTCTGTAGCCAATTGGTTAAACGTATTGCCTAGCATTGCGTTATGCGCGAGAGGTCCTGGTTTCGAAACCCAGGCGAACAAAAAAAAGTTGTTCCGGTCGGGCAGGACAAAGAAGTCTGATCAACTACTTGCCTTTTTAAAAAGAACGAATTAGTGGAATGGACACAGAAATGAGTTCGTGGGGCGACACACATTTCTGTGTCCCCCACGAGGGGGAAACGGGATTTCACTTTGTGCAATATGAAATGCTCGAACCAGTAACAGTAAAAAAATCATGACAAATATCCTGATTTCTCCCACAGCAGAAACAATGGTTACGCGATATCGACACCCTCAAGCGAGCAATACCGTGGAGACGGTATCGCCGCCAGGGGTCCATCTATGGGGCTGCACACTATACGAGTGGACGGAACAGATGCCCTCGCTGTATACAACGCGGTAGCAAGAGCTAGAGAACTAGCCGTCAAAAATAAACCTGTCCTCATTGAAGCCATGTCTTATAGGTACTTATGAAATCAATGCAAATTTTCTACTGTTAATTTATAAAGAGAATTGAGCGAATTACAGATTAACTTTGTTTTTAAGATTTTCTATTTATTATTGAGGGATAAAATAACGATAGATTATTTATTTGAGACACGTAAAATTGGATGCTATATTTTTATGATTTTTACATAATTACAGGGTAGGTCATCACTCCACATCGGATGATAGTACAGCCTATAGATCCCTGGAGGAGATACAAAAATGGACGAGCGATGAAAACCCTGTACAAAAGCTAAGACTGTACCTAGAGCGCAAAGGTAAAAGATCTATAAGCGACAACATAACATTTATATGTAATTTGTCTCCTAATAGTTACACTAATTATAAATTATGTTCACGTAGGACTTTGGAATGAAGAATCTGAAAAATCACTTATCAAGGAGTCACGCGACTTTGTCGTTCGAACAATGCAAGACGCTGAAAAGAAGAAAAAGCCGCATTGGAAAGAAATGTTCGAAGACGTGTACTATGATATGCCACTAAAGTTACAGTATGCACTCGATCGATGTTTGTAAAGAGTATCATTATTATTAACGTCATAATTTAATATATTACATTGGTTTTAGGAAACAAATGCACGAAATGGAAGACCATCTGCGGAAATACGAAGAACATTATCCGATGGAGAACTACGAAAAAGAATAATATAAATGATATTTGTTTAAAATTCATAATTTCGAAAAATGTAAACATAACAACAAAGTGTTTATATATTTATTTTTTTAATACACATATTTTTCAAAGCACCAGGCAATTTATTACAAAATAAATTGCGCATACCTTCTACGTTAACTCTAATCTTGTTAAAAAATAAAAATATGTCGGTACATGAAAGTGGCGTTTGTAAACTAATAATATAATGTTTAATGTCTCAATTAATTCGTTTATTTAGTTTTCTTTTTCGTTCTTGTCGGGATCCTTAAGAAAGATTCGCGATCTTCTCCAGCGAAGTTTACGGATCCTGCGCTGTGCCGATAACTAGCGTGTGAGGATGAAAAGCGTATCTTTAAAATGTGATGTATTAGACATCAGACTTAATAGCAGGATACAATTGAATGTCTGGTCTGATTTTTCGTATTCATCGAATTAAATTGAGGTCGCTAGAAGCAGAGTATCCTAACTGAAATTTTGAGACTTAGGTTATTTATATTTTCATAATCTCAAAATGTCGGTCACAGTGGCCGAAAATTGTTAACATAATTTTTACACATATAATAGTATAAATTTATTATTGCCTAAGTGAATCTCGCATTTTTATTTTGCCTCCTTCTTGAAAATCATGTTTTTGTATTAAGCCATTCTGCCTCTAGCACCCTCAATTCGTATTGACTACTCTGTATGACTATTATATATCTGTGATCACAATTCTTATGTTTGTCAGTTATCAAACGTCATTACCACATGTTACAGTGATATTATCACCCTTAGATAATATGGTCAAAGTACTTGATACTTCTGTCCTTCCATGAGTATTTTAATATATTAATAATAATTGAAAAAATACTTTATTGTTCTACACAGTTCAGTTTATAGTTTTGTTGAACCTTTACAATGTTAAGCGTGATACGAACGGATGTTACAAGTGTTAAGTTTTTCGGCAACTACATACTAGCAGGTATTTTAATTTTTTAAGAAGAAGAAAATTCCACGTTTCTGCATTTTTCTTACTTCCATTATGTATTTAAAGCTTAATAATATTCTTCTTCTTCGTTATCGTATAAGACATACTTTATAATATGTCGGTTTATTTTCGTTATAGTAACTTAATTGTTTTAGAATCATGTGTCTAGATCGCAGTCCTGTATTTTAACTTAAAAATTCTTCTAAAAATCTTAAATAACAAAAGCAAACTATAGCGTATGTAACATTTTTTAGGTATAGGGAGCTGGCTACATGTGTTCTCCGATAATTCAAATGTTTTAAAAGATAAAGTGCAAGTCCTTACTGGTCAAAAAATATATGGAATTGTGCCACTGGATAGTCTCGGCAAGATATTGGTCTTTGGTGGTAAACAACTTGAGCTTGTAGTTTATGATTCACTAAAAGATGTTTTTACCTGCTCCTGCAATCCAATAGTTACTGATGATTGGATTCATTCAGTAATTTGGATATCAAACATTGAAGTTGCTGTGCTCACTGCTCATAATGTGGTTGAGGTTGGTTTTCTATATAATTTAAAGTAATATTTGTATTTAAAATTTCACATAATAATGTTATGCATTTTGTAACTTAAATTTTCTTACAGGAATGGAGTTTAGAAACTAGACTACTCCAAAAAAGGAAACTATGTAAAGGTAACTCAATATTATACTCAGGCTTACTTGTGCCACTTCAAGATGGTCTATTGGTATTTAGCGGGACTGTGTTTTCTGATATTCTCATAAGTTGTGCTGAAGAAGAACCTTTATATCATCTAAAAGGACATAAGGTGTGTAATCATATATCTGATTGGAATGATACATATGTAACTTTAAATTAAAAACTGTATAGATTAATTAAAATTTCTTTTTGAAATTATTAAGATTGCTGGAGTTAAGCTTACACAGTCTTTGTTCTGTTCCAGGGTGTCATATTCTCTATAAGTTGTCAACTAAAAAGCTCTACTATAGTTTCAACATCTGATGACAGGTCTGTCAGAATCTGGGGTGTTCAATCAACATCTACTGGTACTTATATTACTACAGATTTTTGGAGAAATTTAAAAAATATTAATTGCTTACATGAACTGTATGGCCACGGTGCTAGAGTAATGAGAAATTGTATTATAAATGATTATATTATATCTGTTGGTGAGGATTCAGGTATATGCTATTGGGACCGCCACGGAAATCTCTTAAGAAAGGTGAAATCTCACACAAATGCTTGTATATGGTCAGTAGATGCTTCAGATAACTACATAGTAACAGGAGGAGGTGATGGAGCAGTTATCCTTCATCCATTATCTATTTTAAATGAATGCAATAAAGCTCCATCCACATACAATTTTGGTGTGAAATTGCCAAAGAAAATTGTATTTACTGCAAAGCAAAACATTGTTGTAATGACAGAAATGGGTGAAATTATTTATTATGACGTAAGCAGTAATACCAAAAGTGAATTTAAATTGCACCATGAGACAAAATATAAGCTATTGAGTCTTTCTGCATGCAAGCAACTTATTGCTGTTGTAGATATGTGCGGTAAATTTGATATTTTCTTTGAAGATTGCAAAGAGAGTTATTTAGGAAATATTGTAGATACCCAACTTCATATTTGTAAAGTTATGTCCATGCACTGGACAGGTAATAGACACATAGTATTGTGCACAGACATGGGGGAAATAACAGTGCTAACAGCTGGTTGCATGGAGGTACACATATTTGCCAAATTTAGCTTACCTTATTGCAAAGAGCGCTGGTTAACAGCAGTCGCTATAAATGGCGACAAAATAATCGCTGGTGACAGATGTGGAAATCTACACGTATTTGTCAGAGGCCAATCGCAGCCCATTAAAACTTTTAAAAATATCCACGGAAGGTATGGCCCTACATCGATTTATTTTAAAAATAAAAATTCAATTATAACAACTGATAGAAGAGGTACTTTGAAGTATTTCTCATTATATGAACATCAAAGTAGCAGGGATTTAGATTTCCAGTGGATTGAAAAGTTTGTTGATAAAAATTATAATTATGTTTGTGGCTTCCAAGAAAGAATATTTGTAGTCTTTGACATTGTTAACAATAGAAGAATTTTAGAAGTCCAGTGTGGGGGTGGTCATCGATCCTGGGATGTCGTTCATTTCATACAGAAAAGAGGAGATCATTTTAATGAATGTATCACTTTTATGTACATCAAAGAGGGAAATATATATTCTCAAACGTATCAGTTAAACAAAATTGCACCAAAAATAATAATTAATGGAACACATTCGAAAGAAGTTAACTGTTTAAAATCATACAAATGTTCTTTGGCTACATCTCTGACATATTTTATATCTGGTGGAGAAGACACGACCCTGCGCATTACGAGTTTAAACCCACAGAACACTCTCAAAGATGAACTTGTATTTAGGCACTTGTCTAGCGTAAGAACTTTAAAATTTGTAGAATTAAATGACCATTCTTTACTATTAGTCTCTGCAGGTGGCAGAGCACAAATATGTATTAAAAAGATAACATTTCAGAAATGTGATGATGTAATGGACATTTTTGCACAAGAACTACTAAATTATATGATTAAAGGGACGGATCGCGATCGAATTGAGAGTAAACGAAAAGGCCTTTTAAATGATTTTGATCCTGAAACGAGAGTCATGGATTTGGAAATTTCAAGCTTAGATAATGAAGAATTCTTCATATACGCGGGTTGTTCAGATGGAAAATTGAGAGTGTACAAGTACAAGCTTAGTGGTAATATCCTGGATTTCGTTGAGTATGATCAAGTAGGATTTTGCATATTGAGGACGAAAATGTTGGATATGGCCACAGAAAAACTTTTGATAAATTGTACAACGAACAATTTAAAGATCGCCAATATTTCCAATAAAGGTTATGTTAATTTAAATTGTCATAAATCAGGAATAAACAGTTTGGCTATTAAAGTAATTTCTGATAGTACATTTCTGATGGCAACCGGTGGGGATGATAATGCAGTATCGTTGAGAAAAGTCAGCTTTGGACATTCTCAGGAAGATGAATCGTGGATTAGTAATGCAAGCCACTGCTCGCAAGTGACTGGGGTTATTTTAATAGATAATCTGCTGGTGTCCGCTTCTATTGACCAAAGGGTGACAGTGTTTGAGTGGACACTTGACGGTGGACTCCAGTGTGAGTTCAAGCTGCAAGTTTTTACCGATATTGCGGATGTCCAGGGCATTGAGCTTTTGTCAAGTCACAAGTGAGTTAGATCAGTATTTGATTAGAATTTTTTAATATATTTGTATATGCCGAGGCTCATTTGTGAAATGCATTGCTTTGGCTTTGATCTCGTAAGATAAAGAGATTCCGTAAAATAGGCTGTGCATAAAATGTTCTTTGTTTATGAGCTTTTATAATACTGCTAAGTCTTGTTTGTTTCAATGAGGCTCTTATGTTCCATTCGTTTTACATTAAAGCTGATAAAAGGATTGTCATAATAAGTATAGTTGTAAAAGCTTCGAGTTACCCACTCACAGATATCACCTTATTGTTTGTTGTACTATGAAATATTTAACGTAATACTACTTTTAGGAACTCCCTAACAGTGTGTGTATTTGGCAAGGGAATGGAAGTGATGTCGATACCGCGCCCTTCACTCAAATAAATCTCCTATTTCTTCAACCCCTACGCTCGAAAATATTACACTGCTAAATGTAAGTAAATTTTATGCGTTACTGTACTTTTTCAGGGGCAACTTAGTCTTAATCCTTTAAACATATTGATTTCCTGGTCCTAGTCCTAGGATGGAACATTTAAATATGAAAAGATAAAAGATTTGTTTTCTCCTCAAAAAACAAATAATGAAACATCTGTTTAATAAATGAACGTTATATTTATTTTATAATAGCTTTCACCGGCGACTCCGTCTGCCGAGGAGCTTGCTAATGTCTTGTGATTTTTTCCAAACATTACTTTATAAATATACATATTGTCTATTTTATTACTGGAAGTTTATATTTTGTGTATAATTTCGGCGTATTCGTATCATAAATATAAATATCGACATATAAGTAGGTGGTAAGGTCAACATTAACTTTTCAGACGATTACTACTTTTGTAAGTTATAATAACGATATTCACATTACAAAAAGTAAAAAATAATTAAGAAACACAGTATTTAAGAAAGGACAAAAAATTTAAGATAAAGAATAGTGGTTATGGTAACCTAACTTAAACAAATATATATTTTAAATATTCAACACTATAACTAAACATAATTTTTGTATAAAACATTTTTTAATTAAACTTTTTCATTTTCAGTTATATGTAACTTAGTATTTTAGCCTACAGTTAAAGTGAATTAAGTAATAATTGCCTTCCTCTACATAAATAATTCTTCGCTATCGCAACAAAGTCCTGACAAGCGGTATTGAGATTAAATCTCTAGAACAATCCGATAAGCCGCGTAATTTCCAGAGGATTTGTCTTGGATATACCTTATTCACACAACATTGGCGAGATATATTGGTGTCAATAAATAGATTAAGTGCATCTGCATCTTTGATGACTGCCATCAATTAACCGACTCAAAGTAATCGCTACGTTAAAATTCGTTACTTTTATGCCTCGCACACTCTTAGATCAAAAGCAAAGAGAGACCTTTAAAAAAAAAATTAAATATAACCTTCTCGATTCAGGTTTTTTTTCCAAAAAATAGTTTTAAAAAATGAAATTGTGAAAATATTATATCAGTAGTATCAGATGCACTTGATATTTTTTAGCTATCTTTCACCAGGCCCATTTCACCGTGTTCCTTAAGGTTGTTTGTAATTTTAAGAAAATGTACTGTTTTAAAAATGACAAACTATAATATGTAATTAGAATGTACTCTTAGACGAATGTTAAAAAAGCTTTTTTTAAACTTTGGTCGCGTTATGTGCTAAACGGGGAAGTTTAGTAGTGTTTGTATTGTATATTTTGTCTGTATTCGAACAACAATTGCATTAAGTACAAGAGGTCCAGAACCCCAGGGGAAACGATAAATTGTTTCATTAAAGTACAACAGTCTAATCAAACGGTCTAGAAGTGAAAATAAGCCACACAAACTCGACGCCGCTAAGCTTTCATCCTTTGAGTCTGCGTAAGTATTGGGTTCATATAAGATAACCCTAATAACTAAATACTCATTACAACTGTCAGCCCTAGCGTGTAGTATTAAAGATTAGATAGAGTACGGTATATAACGTAATGAGATTACGAACGACACACTCGCTCGGGAACATTGTCTGCGTCTCACCTGTCTTTAAACTTTTGCTTAAACGTGAGTAGATTTACGATATTGCTTATTGTATACGTATATTTGGCATGCATTTAATTTTTATCATTCCAATTGCTTTTTTTACTCTTTTTGCTTTTGTTTACTTTGAAGATCGGCACTTTGTAGATAGATATACAATTAACTTAGGTAAGTTAAATTGTATATCAATGGATCTTATCACACCATAACTATCGCTCTCGGCGTTAACGAAGAAGCTATTAAGTACCAGATTAGAGGATAGCTGTAGGTTTAACACGCAGATGTTTTAATAATTGTCAATACTTTATAGAAAAATGTACGAAGGCAGGGTAAAAGGAGTTTGTATGCTCATTATACAAAAAAAAAAACGATAAGAAAAGGCACCTTAGATTATTTGCTTCTTCCCATAGGGTAGAAGCCGTGTAGGCTCCGGAAATTCCTAAAACATTTTAAAGATCAATGAAAAATTTCCAACGTGTACTTAAGAAGTTACAAACCGAGTAGTGTGATATCAAATCTTTATGGCAGTTGCGATAGTTAAGAAGTAGATACTAAAAAGAAATTACAAAAAAAGTATTTATATATTAACTAATTAATAATATTGATATTATCTTATCCGTTATTAAATTTCGGTTGATAGTTTTTGTAATTTTTTAAAGCCAACCTGATCGCACAAATCAACCGGTAAAGTCTGCTCTATATAGATATCATACGAAAGATGCATCGGTATGTACATAAAGAGACTTCTCATTGTGTCCGGTGATAATCGTGTCTAAAAATATCTTCATACTGCTCGATTATTTCTAATTGCCAAATGTTAGATTGATTGAAGTTTGAACGAAGAAATACTAATTATCGTTATATGACAAACATTTTGGGCAGATGTGGTTCATTTTTTCCATAATGAGATTATCAACTATCTTAGAGGAAATACAAATATATTTATATTTTTGTTAAAAGTTTGTTCCTTTTAGTTTAATGTATAATAATGCTTTTTAATTTAAGAAAAAAAAAGAATAATTTCTTTGAAATATGACAGTATAAGTAAATCTCTTACTAAATCGAAAAGTCCTATTCAATTGTACATCTTGCTGAAGGACAGATAAATAATTGTATAATTTTCAATACAAATAAAAATATCTTCTTAAACATGCTTTATTCTATGAACAGTACCTAATAAAAAACTCATTCAAATACAATATGTATTTCACTTCTTAAGAATATCATAATAATTATCACCTGAAACCTATTAATTAATATCAATCACATTTACGAATCACCTCGTAATTGATTTATTTTTATGTAATAAATGTTACAGAAATCCATATTCGTAAAATAACACTTTTATTTTTCTCGCTTGTGATACAAGGCCAACTGAGCAACAGATCTTAGAAGTGTGCGACATCATCAATTCTATGGTAGATACATGGGCATCACTGAACATTTCCTCGTAGCATGTCGTATGTGGTGACGTCAGCCTGTTTATTAATAAGCAAAAAACACAAGAGGCACACAACTAGTTTTGCCCTTTTATTCGACGTAGGAGCACGTGTGATTTGTTGACAACTGATTGTTTGGAGTTTAAACGTGGGCAAAGACATAGTTTATGACATGAAAAGGTATTTTGTTCCATTCAAGTTAGTGTGGAACGAGCAAATGACAATGTTTGTTAATGAAAAGAATCGAATGGAAACGTTTTATTTTCGACTTGTCCTCCTGCCGATTGTTTTATAAAAACACAAACAATATTTAACTATTAAATCTTTGAAGCAAGATATTAATAAACTTCGTGAAAATATTAAAACGGTAGAAATTTCCATTCCATATGACAACGAAAAAAACATGAGACACTTGGTCGTCGGTGATAAAATCAAACACAACAATAATAATCGTTTTCCTTCTCGTGATAAACGACACATTTGTTAGTGGAAATATTGTATTTTACAGCTGAACGTATATTAGTTATTCACAAACAATAACTATTGTTTGTGTTTTATTGCAGATGTCAGTCAAAGTTAGCCCAGTCACTGAGCCAGTTTGGCTTGGAGAAGGACCGCACTGGTCCCAGCAACACCAGGCTCTGTTCTTCGTCAGCATCTTCGACCGTTCCGTGCATAAGTATGATCCCGCTACCGGAAAGTGCACTAGTTCTAAACTCGGTAAGTAGCACAATCTTTTAATTAAACCGTTTAGAAGTAAAATTGACAATGACAACGAAGCCAGTCGCCACTTTTTGCTCTTAGTAGTACAATTACGTTAACTGAGTTGTCTCTTCTTAGACCCGTGATTTTATTTTCATATTATATTACAGAGGATATGCCCGGCTTTTTAATCCCCGTGGAGGGGAAGAAGGATCAATTTGTGGTCGGCCTGAAGCGTAAGGTCGTCGTCATTCAGTGGGACGGCAGGGACGGAACTGCGAAAGTCGTTCGCACCGTCGCGGAACTGGATAAGCACACACCAGACAACAGGATCAACGATGCCAAAGCTGATCCCAAAGGGAGACTGTTTGTTGGTTAGATGTTATTTCATATAGAGCAAGACTTTTCGCTTCGACTTATGAATTCAAATCAAAGAGTAAAAATCAAGTTCAAGAGTCCTGACTAAAAATGTATTTTTTAGTCAGGACTCTTGAACTTGAAATAAAACTAATTACTGACACAGCCCAGAAGGGCGTCAGCCGCCCTGAATAATACCTTAAACACATTCCATATCACCAGAGCGAGTACGATCATGAGGGCATAATGACTTCCTATATACATTAACCTCTAAGCTATCTCTCGTTTGCTTGTTTGTTGCGTTAAGTCAACTCCAATTACAACAATCATTAAAGGCTTACAAAAAGTAGCAAAATTTTGACATTATAATCGGAGTTGTTGTTTTAAATATAGAATGGTTTTAATTCATTGTGTTCAATGTTAAACGGGTGGAGACGATTTTGACGAGACTAACAAATCTTATGTTGGTTATAGTAAAACACTGAGTACAATTGATACGTTAATTCTAGGTACTATGGGCCACGAATATGAACCCGGCAAATTCCATCTGAAGAAGGGTTCCCTGTACCGAGTAGATCCAGACGGACAAGCGCACAGAGTGGTGAAAGATGTGGACATATCCAACGGTTTGTGTTGGGACGAGAGAGAAAAAGCCTTTTACTACGCGGACTCCTTTGAGTATGCGATCAGACGGTACGACTGGAACCCCGATACTGGCGATATTTGTAAGTCATTTTAACTGTATACAGACACCATAAAATGTGAAAACAGTAATGATTAAGCAAAGTACCCCATTTTAACTCTAATAATAAGGCTGCATGGTCAAAATGGCCTAATAATAAAAATAAATTTAACTATTATTTGTGTAAAAAAAATGTTAGTAATTTTCTATCACTGCTCTCGTAGATTATCATTTTTAGGCTTTGAAGAACTCAACTCAAGTCATAAAAATTGCAGTTAAGCTACTCTCTCTCTGGCGGGCTCATATGTTTATAAACATTCTTTCTTTTCAGAATAAACATTATAATAATAAGTACCAAACGTATATTTCAGCTAATCCTCGCCTAGTATTCAAATATGCAGATCATGGATTAGACGGCATCGTGGATGGGATGACCATAGACACCGACGGCAATCTCTGGGTTGCCAACTTTGACGGATCCCAAGTAAGTCGATGCTGTTTTTTTTTTTTAGTTATAATACAAACGATTTAAGAGATTTTATGGACGCCTAGATACTAATATTTAGGCGTCCATAAAATCTTTTTTTCTCTGTAAAAATAGAGAAAGAAAACCTTTCTAAACGACGAAGTTTTACATTGTAAGTAATAACTGACTGACTTAAACGCGGCGTTACTATCAGATAAAACGTGGGCCACAGCTTATTACATCTAACCTATATTCAACTTACATCACAATTGGAATATGTGTGTTTCATAAACATTTTGTTTGGTCAAATCACAGGTTATAAAAATCGACCCAAAGGCGGGCAAATTACTCCAAAAAGTACCGACTCCCGCACTGCAGACCACGTCCGCTACTTTCGGCGGCTCCAATTTGGACATCCTTTATGTGACCACCGCTTGCATGAACCGAGGTGTGGAGCAGAAACCCCCCTGCGGTTGCACCTTCCAAGTCACAGGATTGAATGTCCGCGGACATCCAAATGTTAGTGTTAAGTTATTGTAAGGCATACAAATAAAAGTTTAATTTGTTTTTGTTTTTTTTACTAACAAATCTAGTTTAAACGATGTACGAAACCAAATGTAACATATACAAACAAAATATAGTATAAATAATGCTTGTTAATTAAATAAATGCGTTATCTGACAACTGATAAAGTACTCGCTACTCCATAATAAAATGACAATGTTTTAAATGTGACAAATCTTATAAAGAATCTCCAATTCCTTTAGTTTTGTAACACGTAATTGTGGCTCGGTAATCCTTTTACACCCAAACCAGTCACCACAAAGGTCGAGCCCGCCTGAGGACCTGGAGCTAATCCGAAGTCGATATTGGCTGTGGTCACAAAGAGAACATCAAGGTCGGGACCTCCAAACGCCACAGATGTGACTTGCGCTACAGGGATGGGAACTTTTTGCAGCAACTCGCCCGTCCGCGGGTTCACCTTAATCACACAGGACTCATTGAATGCCGCGATCCACAAATTGCCATCGTCGTCGATAGTGGTGCCATCGGGTGCTCCTTGTAAGCCGTTCTTCTTAAAGTCGAAAACGTACCTCAAATTACCTATAACACAAACAATTTCTTACACTGAAGTACATATTATGCAACATTTATGCAAATCATTCTACTATTCGGCAGGAGTTTCAGGTTTCTTCAACGTATATTGAATAGATATAAAACAATTAGGTAGAAATGAAATTCGGTTTTCTTTATTTTGTGTTCCTTTTACTGGCCCATTCAATTTACAGAATTCATTGTCCCGTCCAATAGAAACTATTTAGTATTTATTGTGTTCCTAGGAATTCAAATCCAAGCTTTAGGTAACTATATAGAAATTTCGCACGAGTTACAAACCACCACTAGTGGACAATTCGTAAATTATATATCCTAGTTTTAGTGCTATAGGTCCAAAGCAAAAATAGGTGCAACCTACCCAATGCTGGTCTCGTAAATAAATAAAAAATCTACTTACTGATGGCTCCAGTGTCAACGTCATAGTCATATCGTCTAATATTGTACTCTAACGAATCCGTGTAGTACATAGCTTTCTCTTTAACATCCCACGCCAGGCCATTCGAGACAAATATACCCCCAAACAACTTTTTGATTTTTCCTGTGTTGTCGAGATTAAACAGCGATCCCTTATTTTCCTCTATAGCACCTGAGGAGTTCTCCTTACACATAGAACCTGCGAAGTACACAATTCTTTGAAATCCAGCAGTATTACTATATATCATATTATATACTCCTAACAAGATATTAGTTATTTTGACACAGGTAACTTAGAAATTTCAAAAGAAGAAGTCCGGGGCCGGATTAAGAAATCTGGCGGTCCCACAGCAACACAAGAGTGCTGGCCCCTTGACTACAAATTATTTTGATTTCGTTTAATATTAAAAAACTGGAGGCTCTCCCCTAAATCCGGCTCTGTCTAAATAAAAAACGATGAATCGGCTTTGCTCGGTTTATATGCGGGTATTGGAAATATTATTATTTCGTTTATAATACCGGCGTAGATCCTGCCCTTAGGGTCGGCTTTTCCGTCGTTAATCCTGGTTTGCGCCTTATTGTCTTGGTCAACAGTGCCCAAAATTCTAATATCCTTCGCTTCACTGCTCAGTCCATCCCATTCTATGATCTTAAAAACTTGTTCTACGCCAACAACGAACTGATGCTCAGACCCCTCGACGGGTACAATAAAGCCCACTTTTCCGCCCCCTGAATTAAGAAAATCGTTTGTAGAGAATGTAGTTACGTTATCTTCTGCACTCTAATAGTAGGTATTATCTAACGTTGGATCTTTAAACATATTGAGTAGCTACTTAAACATCTGAATATCACGTGTTAATAATGCTGATAAAACAGTTCTTCTACATTAACTTCCTGAGACTATTGATATTATTTAGTATTGGCACTTGGGCTTCGACGACCTTTAAGATCGGAAACTCATTAGCGGGGTGTTAGCAATAGCTAAGCCAACGGCCAAAACATCATGAATTTCTAAATCATGAGTACATACGAACCAAACCAGTAACAGATAGGTAATCCGCTGTTTTGTGGATATATTACTTACCTACTTTAGCCTTCGTTCGTTCGCCGGTCGCCGGTACATATTTGTGCACACAACCGCTATTGATGTCGACAAAAAATAATGACTGCCGTTTCTCATCCCAATGCGGCCCTTCGCCAAGGAGCACTGGCTCATGGACAATTTCCACTTTTATTGACATCTACAATCAACACAAGAAGTTAGCTCGAAAGAGCAATGAGGTGAAAATAATTTAAGTAGGTTGCCGCTGGATATTGTTGACCCATGTACCCATAACTTTGTATTTAATGAACAAAGAGGTGTGAAAATCATTTACAATAATAAGCCGATATAAACAACAATGCTAACCTTTTATACTTGTTTCGTAATTAATATGAAATATTTATAAGTGTACGTCTTATCTCTTGAAATATCACAAACAAACTGAATTAATTAAAACTTATATCATATTATCAATAATTACACAAGATAAACTCGCTGCGGGTGAGTTGAGATTTCTATGTGGCGTTGGTGCAGCTACCTTCACTCCCCGGTGTTACCTGCTTTCTATTAGACACTCAATAAACCACCAACCAGAAATGAGTGTGAAAAAGCTATAATCTGTTAAATATTGCAAAAGATAATAAATAATATTGAAAATTGTTTCATTTTAGGCCAGTTAGTTCGAAGATTAACTCCCTCAGTCGTACAAAGTACAAACATATTTGTCATTATACAATAATAGCATGTATAGTTTTATAAGGTTAACGTATGTACGAGTGACTGGTAAAATGTTCAAATAGTGTGTTAGTATTTAGGGAATCCACATTTCAAATGTCACTGCCGACGACAGTCAGACGTACCTTACCTTGGAACACAAACAATCGGTTTAAAAAATCAGTAAACTTTATTCAAGGGAATTTGGAAAAAAAATACAATCGATATTCCAGAGACGGAATAACTTTTAGCTTTGAGCTCTGTACAACCGTAACGTAATCACTTATAACATATATAGCGTCTACACTATATTCACAACACAATTTTGTTTCTTATTGTAATAATATACCGTATACTGTTTAGTAGATATGGACTCTTGTTTTCAGTGGCAGTTCGACGCCAACTTTGCGATTGGCACACACTACGACTATCTGGTAAATTGTACCATCTTCGTTAATCGTAAAAAAGTAATACAACATCATTTAACATCTAACATAAAAACGAACTCCTAGTAATTTAAACTAATACTGAGACATCGAAATGACTGTGCACTTACATGAACACCACTCTATCCTAATTTCTTTTTCTTACCGTTAACCGTAAGGTATACAAACAAAAAGCGGTTTCTTATGAAAATATATACTTCTCTGAAAGCAGAATAAAAGAAATATGGGCGGAGTTTAAGTAGACAACCTCACTTTTATATTAGAGAAAACTTAATAACACTTACACATTGAGAGTATTCAAAACACCTAGAGGGTAGTCTGTGAATTAGCGCTAAACGTTCAAGGGCAGAACATTGATATCCATTTTGGACTGACCCTCGTCCGACTTCCAATTCACAGTTGATGTTTCGCTTAATAAGACTACACCTAAATATAGACACATATTTCTATAGTATTATATAACAAGTAAAGATATTGGTACTCATCGATATTCTAGAAACCACCGACTCCTGTCGGCTTTAAAAATAACTAAACTAATAAATTTTACATTTAACAAACTTATCATATAAATCAAAATTAAATGCTGTTTCCTTCGGTGAACAATCCTAAAACTATGTCGACGTTCCATCTACGAGTAAGGTTTTGCCAAATATACGCATAGGTCACGGCGCCGCCTTTTTTACTTCCGAAGCTCTGTATACTTTCGAATCACAGCCAAAACTTTAAAACCTTCCAAAAATATTCGTCTAAATTTAACGGCGCTCCGTATTGTCTTATATTTTGGGGAACAAGTTTTATTGAAAAAGATTCAAAATTTCAAGGTTTTCTTAGAAAAACTTATCCGACATTTGGCTATCATAGTGGAGTCTGCCACGGCCGAGGCGTTGAATGCACCCTCAGTATAAATGCTAAGACTAGACTATCCACTGATATTAGGAAATTCTTACGTTTATGGGATCTAATATGAATAATCATATTCAGTTGAATACTGAGCGTGGTCGTCGTCTTACGTCGGTCGCGCGTATCGCCCGATGCACTCGTGATAGAACTTAATAGATAGATAGACCCCAAGTTTTACATAATATTTATCAACTACCCGAGCACCAAAATTGTAATCCACTTATGGATGAGATCATTGAATAGTGTTGGGAGATTCATGTTAAACGACATAATATAACTGTACATATAGATATCCTACGTTTTTGTTAATGATTTTGTAAAGAGACTCGACACGATGCACGATCCCTTGCATTTTAGTATTTATAAGTATGTATTCGATGACAGATTTTATTTTTGTATCTGTGGACATATGGAGGAACAAATAACGTATAAGTATACCGAATGTAACTATGCTACGGATGTAAAATTTAGTAAACTAGAAAAATATCTCGAGACCCTGTCAACCCTGCCTTTTAAGAGCACCACTTCACACCACTTTAAGATTTAGTTGAGAAAAAAACAACTACGTCTAGTCGCGTTACTCACATCTATAGCTGATATACCGAAAATGTAATAGACGTAGAAATATACAAATTCGTACATTTCTGAAACTGTAAACAAAGGGATCGCGAACTATAACGACATACTATGATATATGTATTAACAATAACACAATGTTTCAACGCCGGCCGTATGAAATAACTTGATTCGGTAAAGCCTACTTAATATTAAATATTTCAACCGTAGAGAGCTGCCGATCAGCCGATCAATACTTTTCGTTCCGGTTTATCCAGGAACGAGGTCTTAGTTTTTTTCTGTAATTGTTAGTTTTATGATCCCCTTGTTGTTTACTCAGTAGAGGTTTTTATCGACCGGCTGCTTGTTAAAATGTTATGACAGTTTGGCCCAAATAACGAAAAAAGTCACACGGATATTTGGGAATAGACCTAATTTCTGCTTCTAGTCGGAAATCTCGAATAACCTCACAAGTAAATGATTCAGCTTGTGCTGTACTTTCGGTGGGTCTAAGACAGATATTCTTATAAAACGTCAAAATTCAACGCGTGCTTCCCGAATCGAGTTCAACAGTGATTTAATTTTTGTTTAAATGACCATTATAGAAAGTATCAAAAGTGGTTTATACGAAGGTCACTGCACAGTGTACTTTAATTTTGTTTAATACGGCCCTATCACTCTTTGTTAATTAAGAATTTGCAGAAATTCTTAATTGCAAAATGTGAAGTTGATATCTCGCCAACTAGAGATGCGTTGTTAACCACACATACCACAGCTAACATTTAAATAATTTAGTGCAACGCTGGTTTCAACTTACCCCCATAGAATGCTTACGCAACAAACATCGTTCCCGATACAAAAGAGCGCGGCGCACGCTCAACTGGTGCATCTACGCAGCACGACCATGTCGACATTTACGCGTCCGTCATATTCGAAGCTTTGGGAAGGGATACTTTGAATCACGTTGCAATTCAGCGTTGCAGGAACAAATAGGAATTAAACTGCAGAATTGTGTTTTTTTTTCATGTAACGCCCATGATATAACATATGGCGTATAGTTCAAAGGACAGTGCATTAATGTGGTCACGTTCGTATATTTTACAAATAAACGGGAACGTGTGGCATTGTGTTGTGCTGTGAACTATATGCGATATACTATAGTTGGTCTGAGAGACTCCACGCGTCGAACGTCGTTTACTTGGGTTCGTGCGGCACGGGGGGTTGCGGGGGCGGGTGGTGCATGTGCGGGTGGTAGGGGGGCGGTGCCCCGTACACGGCTGGGACTCCGTACTCCAATCCGTCCTCGTACATGTTGTAACCCATTCCGCTCATGCCGCCCATCATTCCCATCATTGCTAAAAGAAAGAACGACACGGTTGTATGAACATTTACAGAATATGTACGGCTGTTGCAGCTATGAAAATAAATTTGGCTGTATCATCATTGGATCATTCGTTCACTGGACGAAATGAATGAATCAATGGGCCGCAGGTTCGATCCTCGTCTGGTCCAACGTGGTTCTAAAATCAACCTTTGCCGTCCACTGGCAACGGCAAAGCCTCGAGAACAATTTCTCACTAACGACCAAAGCCAAAACCCAAGATTTTTTTCTAAACGCTCACCGGGGTCATCGATATGGTAGTAGGGCACGGGGTACATGGGCGGCGGATACGGTGCGTAGGGGAACGTGACGATGGGCGCCTCCACCGGCCCACCCGCGTTCGCCATCTCCTCTCCGGCGTACGGCGCGGGCGTGCGGTTCTCGATGTACGAGCTGCGACTGCGCGAAATATGAAATATTTTTAATTCTTGTATATACGTGAGGGCATTCAATATACAAATGAAAAATGTATTTATATTGAAAAATTGGCGGGACTCGGACCGGCATCTACAGCTATCCGTGCCGCTGCTTTAACCGACGAACCCAAAAACACTCAATGATTGTAAATATATTGTATTTTTTGCTCACTTATTTCAGAGATTCTTATGTGTGTTGCGTGCGTGCCAATAAGAGATAAATTAATAATAAACTATGAACAACTTACCGGTTGTTCGGCCCTTTATTGTTAATGTTGTTGCTGTGTCCCTTATTCTGGTTGTGATTGTTGTTCTGGTTGTTGTCCTGATTGTTGCCACGTTTGAATCTGTATATCAATAAAAAAAGTAAATAAAAAACAAGAAATTTGTGTTGAGATGATTATAAATAGAAGGTATGTACATATTTCTTTTTCCTCTGAGATCACTTTGAGCCCAGTTCAAGCCCAGCCTCAAGTTACTTTTAAGAAATGCATAGGAAAGGCTCACGCGTTTACTAAGAGAATCATCAGTTTTAAAGAAATACATAATTTGTTTAGAGCTCTCTCCTCTCACCTGGGCCCAAGAAGCGGCCTCTGTCCGTTTCCTTTATTATTGTTCGTGTTCTTATCTTGTTTGTGCTTATGGTTGTTCTCGCCGTGGCCCGACGGGCGGTCGTGCATGGACATCTGTTGCATATCCTAATAACGTGAAAACGCACTTTTTAATCAAATATTTCAGGTTCAGATATTCTGGGTATCACGAGTTCAGGCTCGTTTCTATTGATGTTGTCTTTTCCAAAATCAATCAAATATTTAGTATAATACCTAATGGATCCGTAATGGATATAATATTTTACGACTTTTTGATAGCACACATTGCCTTCTTTTATATTTATAAAATGTTATTGATATACTGAGAATTCAAGTTAGACAAAGGAGCTAGGAAGTGTTCAAAGTGCCAGTGTTTTCTTTTATAAAATTTCGTTAAGACACATACCTGCGCTAACGCAGCCGGCGAATAGTGTCGCGGCGGGGGGTGCATAGGCGGAGGTACGTGAGGCGGTTGTGGCGGAGGCCCGTAGGTCGCCCACATGCACTCCACGCCCAGGTTGAAATAATAACGCAGAGTGGCAATGTCTGCAAATGGAATGGTAACAGATTAGCCAGAAAAACATCAATGCCGAATCGCAAACTTAGTACTAATGTTGGTCACTGCAGCTTCGATTTCAGTCATTTTGTTACTGTTTCAAACATTTTGAAGTACTTTTATACCAACCGCTTAATAAATATATAATATTTTGTGTAAGAACATAAGACTTGATAGTAAATCAAGGCAGTAGTAAGCTTATGCAACCTGTGCTATTCATAATTTTCAATAAACTAAGTTTAACGAGAGTTCCGCATAGAACATGATATACCATTCATCGGAAGATCAGCACCATTCGCCTGAACACTCTTGAATACGTGCAGATTTACGCTCTGAGGTGGCGGAGGAGGCAAGTGTGACACACTCGGAACCCCCATACCGGGCACGCCGACCCCGGGACCAAGAGGTTGAGGGGGCGAATGGGGCGAGCACCAGAGCACGGATTTCATCCCGCACATGTATGGCCCACAATTGTACGGAACGTTGGTCGACATCGTCGATGCAACGAGAGGGGGCGCGACTACTGGGCCAGCGTTCACACCTGGGGATTTCAATTCTCATCTTACTATTTACTACAAAAAAAGTCTAAAGTCTTCCTCGGGATGCATTTTTAATCTTAATATTAAGTACCAAATGTGATATAATGTACTGACCGGAATAGGTAGCCAGTGCATTAGTCGTAGCAGGAGTCGAAGCCCTGACCGAAACGGGAGTGCTCACGGGATGGTTACCCATGTCACCCGCTCCACCACTAGTGCTTGCCTGTAAGCATAAATTAAACTGAAGTCAACAAAACGATTAACGGCCTTGAGGTCTTTGAACTTTTTCTTCCACTTGTTACATTAACCTTGTGCAAAATAATTACTCCACTCATAGTTAACATGATTATAAATAAAATCATTAAAAATGTTGTATGAACTAGGTGTGCTTAAATAGAAATTGAACATAAAAATGAAGGTAGTAGGATATTAATCATATCTTCAGATTCTACCCGGCAGGAAAGTAAGTAGGGCTTAACCTGGGTATGAGTGTCGGAAGTGCCGTTCATTTCATGCGCGGGACCGCCCGCCGCCCGTATGTCCACCATCACAGGAGTTGCGTCTAATTCAACCTAAATTGAGACAGTTAATGTATATTTAAATCAAAAAGTACTACAAGAGTTTACAACTACTGCTGGGCTAAACAATATGTACAGCACCTATGAAACAAAGTTCAAATGATTAGCAAATTATATGATTAGCTTATGCCTACATTCAGTCACATTCTTACCATGGTAATCTATAAAATTCTAACAATATCTACACGAGCTACGATATGGCTTCAAGTACAAAACTTATAAGCATTTCACTTCTTTAAAACATATCTAAATTAGATACAAAATATCCTATCATAGGATAGCCACACTTATTTTATTCACATCTTGAATTTATTGTTATCACAATTGTGGACCATAAAATAAAAAGAAAGACAGGAAACATTATAAAACACAAAACTGCTAAATTATAAAATGTTATTACGTTAAGAAAAATGTATGAGTATAATGCTTATAACTTAACTACTCCCTAGCTACTGACTAACTGGCATTGGATGGAAGTTATAGGAATCCAAATGTTGGAGAGGATAGTCGTATGCCTCATAGGTAATGTGTGTTTTGTTTTCATTCCAATTTATTTTATTTCTTTCCTTCTCCGCTGTTTTTGCCTCCTCATTTCGTGCCTTTTTTCCAGATTTCAAATTTTGCTTTCGCGCGATGTTGCCTAGTTAAATATGCGACAGGCTTTAGTAAAAACAATTTATATATGACTACATTAGTAAAAGTTATTTAGATCTTAAGTTTATTATGTCTTATATAAAAATTACCATTTAATCGCAATCAATGTTATTACTATATAAAAGAAAGATTAATATGGAAGAACGCACCGATTTGTTGTAAAATTTGGCTTAAATTCATAAGTTGAGAATTGACACGAGAATATCTGTATGGAGGGGCCCAGGGCTTAATCTCATCAATGGGCAAAGGTTCCAACTGATCGTATTTAACTATTCTCTTCTCCCCCAACTCCTCAATGAATACTAGACATGGGCCTCCCTCTTGCCCCATTTCTTGAATGTGGCAATGGTAGGGCATCACCTGGTCTACTTCTAACTTACATAAGCATTTTACGCCCACTTGCAATGTTGTCCCATCTGAATATTTAGCACCAAAACGCAATTCTGCAAACACATTACTCCTAAGTAACAGTGAATTTAGAGATAACTAAATACTTGAAGCTTGATGTACCTCTTCTCAATTCAGTCCAAACATCAAACTCAATGTTACGATAGATTTCGGGGTCTAAAGCTTTGGCTACTTTGTATGGAAATGGTGTCACTCCATTATCCAGCAACCCTTTTGCACTGTTCACATTCAGGCAACTCATACATACATTTTCAAGTTGTATGAGACTTCTGTTAAATACGTAAATACTCAAGGACTCCTTTAATAAAGATGCTTTCTCAATATCATTTGTGTAATGTTTACATTTCAAAGTTACAGTGTTATTGTTGCTGTCTTTGTCATCACAGGATTCTTCAATAAAAATTTTTGCTCTATCTTTTTGTTTCTTACGTTCAATTTCTGACATGAAGTATTCAAAATGATTGTTTGATGCTTTGTCATGGAGCATCTTATCGACAGCATATGAAAGGTCTTCCAAGTGATACACACGGTCATATAGAAGCTCGTACATTAGGGCTACATGAAAATATGTATGAGTGTTGAGTGCGATATTTTGACAAGAAACAAAGTAATATACTCTTACCAGACATCAATAAGGCTGAATGCAATAAAGTAAATGATTTTAGTATTATGATTAACAAATGTCAGTACTTTTTCCATATTTGACAAATATAAACTTACATTGACAAAATGCTGAATCACTAATAAATTCTTTAGTGTAAACTGCATCAAAGTGTTTTGTATCAGGGAAATAGAATAAATAAATAGGTTTGCCATAACCATTGCAGATTTTGGTCTGTGACCCTTTGTTTGCTTCAAATATGACAAAGTCGCGCCTGTAAGATTTATAGAAACAAAGGTGACACATCTATTGGTTGCATTTAACGTTGAAGAATCAAACACAATTTTCTTACCTATACAAGTGGCTCATGGCTGACACTTCAACCATCCCGCCCCAAAAAGTGGGATTTGACATCTCTTTGAGATAGCTTTCAAAAGTACAACTCAATAACTACAAAGCAAAATCATATATCAGCTCAGAATTATACTAAAAGGAGTAAATAATAATTTGAAACAATTTTACCCCTTCAAACAAATGCTGATTTGACGACATAAACTCAATACAACTTATTTTAACTGTTTGACAATAACGTTGAGTGTTAAATATATTTTCCGAAACAGCCCTAAATAAGCAACTGGAATCTCTCGCTGTATGTTTTCGAAAGAAGCCCATTTCGTCAAGCCATTGATCAGGCTCGGTTGAACGCTTTTGTATTTTCCACGGACCACGATAGCGGATCGGAGAAGGCGACATTGTTAGGCAATGCTAATTATCTGCAGGTAAATAAACAGAGTGAACTCGCACCAAGTCTTGTGATTTCACTCACAAGTTTTTGGACAACTGATGTATAATAATAATAATAACATTCTAAATTTATTAAAAACCATATCGTAGCTATTGTTAAGTCAATGCAAATGGGTGTTGATGGCTAAATACATAACACGTGCCTTCGATATTATCACAAATCACTAATACGAATTTATAACACTCACCAAATAGATAAATTCCGATAATTAGCATCAACGCTTAACTGATAAATGTATCGAAAATGTTCTATTTTACGTTGTGTGAAAAAATTGCACGTGCCATTTGCCAAATGCAACCGTCAAGAGCCGGCGGGAAAGAAAAATCAAAACATGTTCTTTCTTAATTGTCTATGGTTTCGAAGCTAATCTTGTATAATCTATATTCTATACAGTTCTCAAGGCTCTTCTCACCTCTGTTGAGTTTCACAAGAATCGTTGAGGAATCGGTATGAACTATGAATGTCGCATATCCGTTTATTTGGCTTTCGGCGTTATATTCGTTTTTGAAAGAGTTTTAAATGAACTGAGCTTCTAAGACAATTTTCATACAATCGCTCTATTGTAGTCAGTTGCTCCTTACGTTAGCGAGCAATTCCAGTCAAAATCAGTCTTAACAAACAATCAATAGGATACAATTAAAAATTACAGGATTAGGGTTCAAAGTAAAACGCTCTGTATTTTTTTTGTATTTATAAAAAGCACCGTCTGTAAAACATAGAAAAATTACAATAGACCGTTGTCTTATTGGCATCGTTAGCGTTATACAAAATTGGAAAATTTTATTGCGATATAACAATAGGTATAAAATTTATTGTTCCTCACAGAAATCCTTTTAAAAATTACAAAGACGTTGAGCATAAATATTATTAGTATTACTAGTGTATAATATTATGATATAAGTATAAAACCAAACTAATTTGTAATACGAGGTCTATCATACATTGCATGTGAATTTGTATTGAGTAAAAGTACAAATCAATGTGTATCAAACCTTTAAATCGAAACAGTCTTGGTTTTTCAGACAACACTCCTTGATTTTTTAAATGTATTATTTTAATTTGACCATGTCTGCTATCGTGTCCCGTGTATTTGGTGATTATTATTATTTTATAAATAATTACACGGCAACGGTTCATTAAACGAGGAGCGAAGTTTTTAACCTTAAATAAAATCAGTACTGAATCTTAACAATAAGTATTTTCCATATAAATTAAATAAAATGCTCGTAAAATACACTTATTTCATACCGTTAAAAGTGACGTAGAAAATTTTGGTTCTTATAAACTAATGGGAGCCCAGTTCCTTTCGCAGAAAATAAGAGATTTAATCAATATGCCGATAGAGAATGTAGTTATTTATTCTCATGCGTAGGTGTAATTAAATATTTTCTGCTCACAAACTAGTTCCAATAATTGTTTAAAACTTATTAATACTAAAATTACGGCGTTACTAGCGAGATATAGTTGCGATAAATACGAGAAGGTCAGCTTAAGCCGTCTTCTCTTGTTCGATGACGTCCTTCGTGGGCAGAGGGTTCTTCTCGCAAGTTTCGGTGTGTTTCAGTTTGGTGGGATCGAAGTTCTCGATCCCATTCAAAAACTTGTTCTTCTCCTTCTCCGCCTCTATAGCTGTTGAAGGAAAAGCATCTTTTGACAAAGTCTCACATACATCATAGTCGATTAATTGCCACTCCAGTATGTCAATCAGAAAAATGCCCAATGTCGCAAGTATGGGAAACGGATTGGCATCTATTTATTTTTATTATCTAATAATAATAATACATACTCCTACAGTATTACCTGATTGAGTACTACTAGACTGAGTTCCCAATTGTTTTTGTTATTTTGGATCGATAAACAAATATATATGTATATAAAATAATAGGATTAAATACCGTATTTTACGGCAAATAATGACATCGATTAAAGTCATCATCGTCAGTTAAATTGAAGACGGTATAGAGATGATGTCAACTTGCATTGGCAATAGGTAACTTTCTTATTCGATATCATTACTTTTCGGTGGAGTTGGGCAAAGCGCAAAATAACATCAAGCAAATAAATAAACCTTCAATGGGCGGCAAAGGATTCTTTTCTTCGGTAGTCGTGTGCTTCATTTGGGATTTGTCGAAGTGTTCCACGCCGTCGAGCAGGTTCTGATGCGCCTTCTCAGCAGCCACAACTGTTTATGAAGCATTGTGCAGCGCGATATAAGCAAACGGCATTAAACATAAATGTCAAGGCATAAAAGGTGCAAGTATATACTAATTAATTATGCATTTTGGCGCTCAATGGCACATAGATAAAGAAACATTAAAAAAGCATTCTAAAAATGTAAATAATCAATGTTTAATAAATGCAGCAAATTATTATTTAATAAAAGCTCTTAATATAGAAATATGTAGTACCATCTTTATCTGGAAGAGGATTCTTCTCGTTCGTTTCAGTGTGCTTCAGCCTAGTTGAGTCAAACTTTTCAATACCGTCAAACAGTGATTTTTGGGTCTTCTCTGTGGCAACATCTACAATTAAAAACGGAAAATATATTTAAAAAATAAGGTGTAAGAAAATTAAGGTTAAGTTTTTTTTAGTTTAAATCAGAGGGATTCAAATTTCAAATTCAAACAAGAATAAATAAAAAGTTATGCACGGAATTCTCGAGACCAATTTCATATTTCTAATTCGAATTAAAAAAGAGGCCGTACCTTCCGCTGACGGTAAAACAATTTTTTCATTGGTGTCGACGTCACGAAGGCAACTCGGGTTGAAAGCCTCGAGTTGGCTTTTGAGGTCATTGGCGACCTTTGGGAGGTCCTTTAGGGAGGGGGCGTCTACTGAGCAAGCCATTTTATTGATATCTGCAAACAATGCGTTTATAACAAAAGTTAAACAATAAACCAAATAAGGAATGATGAGTTAAGCTAAACTATCAACATATTAATTATACACTTATTCATTCAAATTCATAACAATGAAACAAGTTAAAGTAGGTACCTATATTTCAAAATTCACCGGTATTTATTTAGAGAATACAACATGGGCTTTCCTGTTCAAACAAAGGTGAGTAGAATGTAAAATACGTCGGATATTGTCGTTCATATATATTAAGTCAAAAATCAAAATGCGTCCGGCAGCAATCTTTTGTTCGGAGACGCGAGCGGCGCATTTTTACAAATAGTCACCTATTCATGTTTTATACAGACAGTCAATGGGCTCGTCTAGGGATAACTTAAAAGCCACAATAATGGTTATTAAAAATGATATGAATGCTCGGAGTTGGTTATTTTACTAAACGTTTATTTTAAAAACACACCGCTTCTAATACACGTGCTTCTTCTCTAATACATAGAACGATAATTGTTAAAAGTGATGTTCAAAAAAATGATTTGAGTTTGCATTCGATATCCCAAAAGAGCACGTCTTATCGAAATTATTAAAAAATGGAAACTTCCAAAACTGCCTGGTTGACTGGTGAAAATAAATCAATTAAGTAAAATGACGCGTATTTAATAATACTAAATGCACCGTGTCTTGGCTATAAATCAGCAATTATCTACAGGATATCTATCAGGATGACGTCAATGTAAAGGAATACCTTCTGGATTCAGATTGTCTTGCACTTACCAAGAACAATTCACGCATTGTAATTAATGGTGGCGTCTTACTATAGACATCGAAAACCATAATACCGTTTTTTTAGAACATGAATCATATAAACTTAACTGAGTATATCGTTATTACCTCTTGTATTAGTAACTCGTGAATCCAATAGGAATAGCGTGCTCGATAAAAACTGCATTTTTTAGTTGTAACCGCCAACACTTGATAACTAAATAATCTATATAAACTGGTCATTACAGGTTATAACATTTTGTCCTCTATTTGTACGTCTACACGGAGAACAATTTTTGTCATTACTCATTATCTACATTACAAATGCTTAACTTTAACGACAAAGGTAATTTACAATTAGGTTGGTATAGTATCTTAGTACAACTATTTAGACTCCTTTAATCGAAGGTTCGATAAATATATAATTGGGTCTGTATATACCCACAAAAGTGAAGAGACTTAAACAATAGCTTGTTAGGCGCTACAAACGATACATTGCACCATATGCTGCTCTTAAAATCAACAGACTATTGTATACGAGAACAGTTATGCCAGCCTTTCCACAACCGTAAACGGTAAAACAAGTCCGCCTTAAAATTGATCGTGAGACTAAAAAAAGTTTCACTGGCCATATGGTCGCAATGACATAAGGGACCTTTGTCCTCTTCGTGTTTATATGGGTTGTGTTACTTGATGAATCATTCGTTCGACACTCTAATTACTCCTAAGTGAAGTATTGGTTTTCGTCACTTTAAAAATATTCATATGAGTTAGAACATACATTAAGATAATAATATGTAGTTCGAATCTTATTAATAATTATGACTGTAATACGCAATGTAATTTTGTTATGTAATTTAAAACGTTTTTTTGGCAGCCCTTCAAGGTGAAAGTCAGAAGTCCTTATTTGTTTTTAATATTATATTGTCTTAAACCCGGTGGCGCCGTCGCGAAGCAAAAATATAATTTAGTAAAAATGACACGAAGAGAGTAGTTCTAAAAGAAATTAAATAAGTCCGAATTAAGTAAGCTATTTTCTATTCCTGTGTTCCTAAAACGAGTTGAACAGTAGTACATTGTTTCCACAATGCAAATGTATGTTTTTTGTAATTACTAATAATATGTAGTTTCAAGAGACGCCGCCCGTTAGTTAAATCTTGCTTCGGGCTGCTGGGCACCGTCGAGTGATTCAAACGGGATTTTTAACAAGATACATAGATGTGCTAATTAATTAAAACAAAATTCTTTCAAATTTAATTAACGAGTTAATTTAATTTATTCCGTTGGTTTTCTGAATATAATAAATTTGCTTATTTATTTAAATAAAAATAAAGATTTAAATAAATTCCGAGGCACGAAATATCAGTTACAGTAAAGCACTCATTAATTAACATTAATTTAGTCTTGGCATCCAAGCAACTAACATATATATTAAAGCCGACTCAATTTGACCAAATGGATTCGTGCAGCATCTGCCCCATTTAATCTCGTAGTCTTTCTAGCGAATCTCTGCGAGACCTTGGTTCTATAAATACTAGACATTCCAGCTCACGACAGGACCTTAATGGCGGCAGCCTTGTGCCTAGGTTGTCAGCGAGGCGACGACGCGACGCAGCTTTTTACCATATTTGGTTAAGTAGGGACACTGACTAAGAAATACGTTACGTAAGCTGTAGAGAGTATATAAAAGTTCTATGAACAGCAGAGAAGTAAGGATATCGTGTGACGGGAACGAAAGAGTTAATTACGAGCCTCCGGAACAGGAAAAGTTTCGCTTACACTTGTATGGCCTTATGATAGCTTTAAGGCGTTGCCGTTCCCTATATTATTTTACCTCTGAGAGAAGATACTGCAGTATTCTAATACAACACAATTTATTTTTAATTGCCGTACGCGATGGTATTGTTGAAATTTATTGTTGTCCAAAAACCAAAAATCAATGTTTTCATTGTTTACCTATTTAAAGCATTATCATTTGGGAGTATATTTACAATGCACCGATAAAAAGAATTAAATATGATTTCAAACTAAATTATCTAATCTCTAGTGGTAGTAGGTAGCTGGGTTATATACATGATATTATATAGATTTTTCAGTAACTCTAACCTTTTATTTACCAATTATTTATTGTTTTAACAGCATTAATCCTACTATGATTTGAAAATTAGTACGTACCTAAGTTTTGAATTATAGTACTAATAAGAATACATATTTATCTAAACAGCGATGTTATGTAATGTAAAAAAGAGATATTGAGGATATTGATTATAATCTTTAAACGCACGTTCTAATCTATTCACTATAGAAATTTCATTATTTTGTCACGTAAGTAAAGATTTGTTTGATGCATTGCAACGTACACGTACAATGCTGATGCATCTATATCTCGAGGACGGGATGTCTTTTGTCTTAAGACATAAAGGCAAAAATACCAAATACGTTTTATCTAACTTGCACGCAATTGACGCGGGTAGAATAATAATTAGTTTTTCATTTACGATATATTACCATACTAAATAGTTATTTGTTTTCTTAAGTTCTCCACTGCAATCGCCTCGGCCTTAAATCTACGCTATGTGTAGTCCATCAGTACTCCCCAGTGATTCATTATGCGATTTTAATAGATGGAATTAGAATGCGCTAAACGTCGCCGTGTCATCGACCTCGCGCCGTCTTAGCGGTTAGCATTAAGACAACTTAAAATCAAAAATTATATTTCAAATTTTATGGAGCGTCAAGCGAAGCCAAGATTTCGTGGGCAATAAGCACCACGGATGGATGATGGCGTGTGCTATCTAGCTTTTCAGCTGCATCGAATTATTACACTAATTGGTTCAGTTTTAGTGTAAATTAGATTAGTACGTAACGCTTCTTTTTGATTTGAGGTTCAACATAATGTTCAACAATATGTCAACAATATGTTAGGTCGTATACCTTATTTTTACACGATGTTTTATTTAACTGATGTTAAATGTGCACGACAAATTGAATTGTAGTTTTGACGTGCATAAGTGCCGACATAATTTTACAATCACTATCTTTTCACATCACAAAGCATAAAACCTCTTTCGTGACATATACGTTTTGCACAATTACAATATCCGCTCGATTCAAGCCCCAGCAGTATTGATCTACCTACAGCCCCGCATTGGAGGACCTAGGGGATGTCTGTAGGGAATATTCGGAAATATACCTATCTAGATTATAGGCGCGAGCACGCAGACCGTACTTGCATCGACTGACTAACGAGAGACCGACAATACACGTATTAATTCTAAATTACACGTTTTAAACCACTACAGATTTGTACATATTACGGTTCTCGGAATCTAATTCCTAATAGAAAAATAGTATTTTTCGGAGGCTATATAAGCTAGCATCATTAAATTAAAATTATACATAAACCTGAAACTGAGTAAAATTTAGAAATGTTATTGTTAATATTCAGTTCGTTGCACTTTGAATATTTAACGTAGTAATAAAATCTTCAAATATCTGATTTATTGCGCCTTAACTTATTTTCTGTGAACGTTGTGAAATATATTCCAGCCATATGCGTATTTAAAAGTATTACGGAGTCGATAAAATGTTATACTTGTTCAATATTTCGAATTAAATTGAATACTGTTTTATTATATGGAAATGACGCGGAGTGTACCAACGGACCCCCGCAAAGCATTCACCCCCGTAGGCATTAGGGTTGTTTGCTCTCAATCGATTCTATTCGGGAAGTGTTTGCATCCCCTTCTTTCGTGTACATCTCTTTCGCGGGCACTGTCCCGTCTGAGATTACCATTACAACTGGTAATTGAGTCTACGTTACGTTTAAGCACTTCATTTGAACCGATGACTGCAAGGAAATCAACAAACATCGAGATGCCTAAAATATTATACTTATTTGTAAAATTTTACTTTCAACTACTTATTTAAAATGATTGTTATTTGTTACTCACGTCGACTTACTTTTTAAACGTTCTACATAGAATCGTGATTCATCAGCTCCTTAACAATATGACAACAGGAAAATTTGGATGAATCGACGCCCAAGTTAACGATAACAGTGTCGGTTTTTAAACAACATTGGTTTTGCCGCATAACTATAATTTATGCAGTTAAACATCGGCTGCAAGGTAGATTTGTATTTGGCAAAACGTACGTGTGCTAACTCGTACTGCCTTTACTCGGTGAAAACTTTAATAGTCGACAGCAAATTTAAAATTGCCAAAGATCTCATGTGCGATCGCCGATGAAATGTTACGATGCGTGAAAATGGCGAAAGTCAGACATGACATCAAAAGCGGTATAAAGTATAAGCCATTATATATTGACATTTACTTATGTAACTTTGAATCTAAGTATCGCCCAGAAGGGGCTATATTTCTCGTTGTGTCGAGCATGTGTTCGACTTAGTCACGTCTATTTTTAAACAGCACTGATACTCATTTGGCGCATCCTTCGTGTCCTTTTTTAATCGAAAAGAATAAAAACGGTGTCTTTAAGTTGAACGACATTCGTTAGTTGACGCAGCGAGTATTTGTTACCATAAGTTTTCACAACGGTATGCCATAGAACAACGATTTCGTTAATAAGCACGAATATAATAGCAACGTTGTCGGTAGGGAACAAACGTTTTTAATTGACCTACTATATATTAGTACTTTTGCACCCGTGTCAATTGGCTTTATAATTCATTTTATTTGTTGGTATCTCTTTGTTTTTTCTAAAATTATAGATAAACTACTCGAAATCGGTTCGATACAATTCCAATAAGACTGGTCAATCCTAAGTTGTCGTTAACCGTCACGCCACCTTCCTCGGTTATCTCGCATTACTCATACCGAAGGGAATGTTCTTCATACGTGTCCGCATTTATAATGTCCATGTCAAGCGAGTAAACGCATAAGACGGAAAAAAGAAACGAACGTCGGCAGATTGTTTTAAAAAGCAAACGAGTGGATGAAGTCATGCAACCGTTCCCACCCGGCAAAATAAGTTCCGTTAATTGACACAAAACATCATACGAAACCTCTATATGCAGTGCTCTGAACATAAAGAAATAATATCTTCGATATGAAAAGAAGAATTTACCACTATAGAACACGGTATCCGTGTGAAGTGCGGTATCAAAGGCGAGAGTAGATATCAAGACGACTCACCTATTTATTTGGTTATGGAGGACGACTACGATCACTCGGGACGATGGTTAAATTGCGACTGTCCGTCCGTCTCGGAGCCCCGCGGTAGTATGCGAGCGAGCGGGCCGATAAATGGAGGGTGGCGCGGGGCGCCTGACGCGGCCGGCGCGATATACAGTTCGACGCACCTACAGCATTGTGCTTGTGTACACCACTATCGATGATTCATATTCGGCAACTCATAATATAACACTGGTGGAAAGGACTTAACTTAATTTTGTTACTAATCCACTCGCACACTTTCCAAGTATATGCCTTTGTCTAGAATTGACAAGATTGTTATAATTTTATATTATACCAGACCTGAATACATAGTATACGGAGAAATTTTCAAAAATCGATACAAAAAGTATCGCTAGACAGCTTTGAAATATACCTACCCAGTGGCAATAAGTACACCGGCCGCGGCGGCTGGGCGACATTGATTTTTCCGACCTTAACCTTCTCCCGCTGTAGCTTCCCGCTTGCCCTTCGCTAAAATCTCGGAAAAACTATGAATGTTAACGAATATAATACGTTATTTTTATTACAAAATATCAATATGCACTTTAAGAAAAGTGGGTCTCTATTCGTTAAAATCGCGGATTTAATGATAAGTCTAAATCGTTTTATCAATATTCTATTCTGCTTCTAATTTATAGCTAGTCTCTAGCATTACACATTTTGTAACGTCTTCCCTCATATCATAGTTATGAGTCTTAATCTTATGAAGCGATTAATTGCATCTCTTATATTTAATTAGGATTATGATAAATAAACTACAAATAACTCGAACTAAAATACAGTTATCGACATCACTGCATTTAGGACGTCGGCTTAACGTTAGTTAACGGGACGGATCATAAATTTAAATGCAGTCATATATTAATTCGTGCTATTTTGATGATATATGCTACAAATTGTGCAAATCACTGACTTTAGTTATACTTTGCTCAAATTAGCTTAGTTACTATCGTCAACCCTGTCGACATATTTTATGAGACTAAGTCAGTCAAGTAGTAGTAAAACAAATCTCAGGATCATACCAAAAAATATCTAGGAAGAGGGTTAGAACAAATAAAGCATAGTTTCCTGAAAGAAATTTATTTATTATGGTCCTCTTTTTTTAATTTGCTCATTACAAGTATAAATGTATAATTTTAACAAGTCCCGCGAGGGAACCTTATCCGGCTAGTACTTTACTAACTAGATTGATTATTTCAATGTAAGTATTCAACTAGTATAACATATTTAGGACAATAAAGAATATAATTCCACAACAATTATAATTAATCCTCTGTCTGGTAGGAGAGAGGAGAGAGGAGAGAGGAGAGATGGTGGGTTTGATAGTAAGGAAATTGAAAGCGTATTTTTACATTTTAACAAAAGACCAAGAATATTTTTTATAATAAGATAAGGTATTTAAGCAGAATGGACTTAGCTTAAAGGTCGCCACAATGGGCCCCGACTGCCATTCTTATTGTCCCGAAAGTTTCTCGGGACCAAAATTGTTTTTTTCGAATTAAGTTTATTAACTACCTTCAAAATTATATCATTATGGCTACGCGCCCACTGCTTCAAGGCAGATGATTCAACTATCGGCTAATACAAGGAGTCTGTTAAGCGCGTAATTGGCTCATTAGGAAAAGACCTCAAAATGTATCCCCTTGAAAACGTTAAGCACAAGGAAGCACAGGAGCCGATATTAAGGAACAAGTATGCAACAGTACAAACAGTATTTAAAGGACTTTGAGACATTAACAATGTTAAAATAAGAACCATACAACTTGGCGGCTTCTTGCTTCTCCACTTGACATATTAATGTCGATAGTAACGAGCTCACAAGTGAACAAAAGTAGCGATTAATTTTGTTTCGATTTGTACCATACTATGAAATGTATTGACTTTTTAATTAGACCAGGCCTTTTATGTTTTCTGCACCCCAATTTTTATTTAAAAAAATATACTATATTTATTATTTACATATTTATAAGCAAGTGTGACCTGTTAAGTGATATTTGTTTTCAAAAGATTTAAAATTAGGATACCACCATTTAAGGAAAATATTCTTGGTCAGAATTTAACAAAACTTTTAAACTAACCTAAACGCAATGGAATAACCATTTTTAATAGAAAAAGGGAATTAACCAAGATAACGCTAATATTGCTGCTGGACCTACCCTAATTACAATTAAATAAAATATATTATTTCTCTTTTCGGTGGATACTAAATATTTACAAGACTTTCTTAGTTTAATAAACTGATTTGTTGGATCTCAGTATCAGTCGTAAGGTTGCACCGAAACACAAATCCTAAAATAGACGAAGTGTCATAATATTAACTTTTGGACCTTTGGTCAAGGCCTATTCCTGTAACCAATTACTATTAAATTATATTCAATCCGCCTTAAATTATCCTCGTAATTTTGTAACGAAAAAAAATGAAATCAACAGTTGCAATATTTCACCATGCTGCACTCGAGCACATTCGGTATAAATCAGATGAGTCGTTCACGATTTAACTGACACAATCTTCTTATTTTGTTAAATAAAACAGCACAACATTACATAACGACCGCTTTCAAGACGTTGCTGACTTTGCAATTGCAAATGGGACACCTCTTGGCTTTGGCCCAGACCTTCACTGCGCATTTGTAGCAGCAGCATATGTGCGCGATCCGACCGTGCACGAACACGCCGGACTTCGGCTCCGAATAGCAAACGATGCACAGATCGTCTTTCGCTTCCAGCTTCTCTTTCAAAGTATTCACGAGAGCTTTCTTCGATAGAGCTACGTCGATGCTGTCTACGGTCAGAGCGGGGTCGCTCACGGTTTTAACTATGGGCTTGACCTCATCTGATTTATCCGTATCCGAATCCGAATCGGACTCCGAATAACCTATTTTGACTCTCTTTTCATTTCGATCGGCGGACTCCGCGCGCCGCTTTAATTTCCTACCTAGTATCACATTTAAACTATCACTTTTGGCGGTATCTTGGCTTAATTCCTGGCTGTTAAACGCCGATTCGACCCCAGAATCCTGGGAGAGGGTTCGCGGAACCCGCTCCGGAGCGTTTGCCTGGTCCGCTCGAGAAGGCGGCTCAGGCAGCGAGTCCGGAGCGGGTTCCGGCGCCGAATCGGACTGTTGGGAACGCGGTCGCGAAGTATTCGTTTCGAAACGGTTGTGACGCCGGGTTTTTCGCTTCGGTCTCGGCGGGAAGAAGTCTTTACGTACCTAGAATATATATGTAGAAATATTATTGAAAGTTCACATTAATGCATTGCCAGAATAAGAATTTCGAGTAATCATTTCTTTATTAAATCATATATTCATACGTTACCTTAACGCTTTCGGGCTGCCGCTAATCTTAGTTATCGCCAGATACATTAATATTAATAGTATCTCATATATTAATTCTTGAATGCTTATTACATGAAATTACATTTTATAAGTGGATTCTATAGTCTAACAAAAACTTATATTTATAGTCATTGAAAAATTAGATGAACACGGTACGATTTGATCGCAGGGTCGAGTCCCCGTGCTATCGGTTTTTAATGTTATGATGTAGATAGAAAATGATGTCTATCAATGAACAATGGCTCTGTGGCTCAATAGTGTAAGCCAAGCACCGCGTTAGGCTCGATAAGTTAAGTAAGAAGAGAAAGAAGATAAGCAGGTTCGAATCCGGAAGATACATAATAAGTTGTTTCCTATACACATTATATATCACAGAAGATCACGCTGGTGTGTAGGATTGTGGAATTATATATTGAAAAAAATTATGTCACGGGCAGGATATGAACGGGCATCCACAGCGACCCGTGCTATTGGTCTTGCTAATGGAGCTACCGTGTCCTCCTCCTCTTCAATCGATTTTTAATTTTTATAGTACGATAAGATAAGAAATATTAAAGAAAAATAGTTTTCACATATTTGTAACGTCATATATTGTACTTTACATACTACTTAACAAGACGTGTTAACTCACCTTGAAGCATTTCTGGCAGTATCGGTAGAGGGGGTTGTTGTTCTCGGCTCGGCACTGCGCGCAGAGCCAGTAGTCGTGCAGGTCGATCTCCGTGTCACTGCCGTCGTTGGTCGTTTCCTCCGAGTCCGCCAGCTGCAACTCACCGTCGTCGCCCACCGACACCTCGATTACCTTCGTCGATATTATTTCGCTCTGAAAGTATTACTACACATTTAGCCGCGATGTACTTTCACTCTATGCTAGTCCTGTTTTTGATAGTACACACAATTGAAGTTATAGTGCAGTTACAAAAGTAAGGTCAAAGTTGTATTAGTTCACCGCAGCAGTATAAATCTTATACCGAAAGTACCCGGTCAGGATAGCTCTTCTCGTCTACAAAACATCCAGGTCTGTTTATATGCAAGGGTATTTTGAATACATACATCGCTATGTCCAGATGAAGCCCCGGAGAGCAGGCCTTCGACTTCTGGCTCAGTGACCGGTTCGAATTCCCTGTCCGCATCGCTGCCGAACTCTGTGTCGCTCGTATCGCGGACAAAATCTACAAATAGCATTTACTCAAAATAACATGTCTATGGTACACAGCGCGTATGTCATTTGTCCCAGTACTCGATGCAGGCTCACTGCGATATTCATGGATATCTGATTTCTATTATTTTTTTCTTTTTTTTATTCATAGCCAGTCTCTTCTCTTTCTTTTCATATATTTTTTAATTTTATATTGAGCATTTATATCTTTTATTATAATTGTTTTCTATATCTATCTTTGTACTTTCTTTTTTTAAGTAAATTCATTTTTTTATACAATAATTATAAATATAACATGCATTGTAAAAACATTTACTAACAAACGAAACTCACCAAACCACAAAAACAAAACCATACAAAGTGACCATGCGTAAATATTAGTGATTTTAATATTTCAACAGATCAAACAATGTATCTAAACTTAATTTAAATTTCAAACAATTTGCTGTAACAACCTTATTCTACTTTAAAACTAATAGGCTACATCTAAGCTACAATCTAACAGTTGTGAAATTAGATTGTACAACTAATGTGCTTAAAATAGCCCAGTAGAAATATAAACTAGTGGGCTCATTGAAATCTTAGAATAGTGACGATTGATGCAATGCCTTAATATGTAAATGGTTATGATCTGCTAATAAAGGGACAACCAAGTTTCACAAAACCAAATTGTTCAGATTCAGCAATTTCCAATTTTGCAAACGACATATGACTCATGTCATGATTATGAAAGTGTTCTTTAATCCATATGATATCCTAATCCCACCCTGGGATCCTTATTTAGACTTGTAAAACTTGGCACATCGGATTAGTGTTATGGGCTTAAATAATTCTAATCTTCGGGTTCAATCCGTAACCAAACAGCTTCAGCCGGCATGAGATCCTCGAGATATATCTGACAACATGACCACATGTAATATGTTAGAGACCAGACACTTTCAAGACATGCAACTCTTATAAGCGGACTATTTAAAAACCAAATAATGGACCTAAGAACATATCTCATTGGCTCAGTTCTAAAATGATTGCAAGGCAACATGTTAAGTTAATATAAGTTAAGCCTGAAAAGTCCTGGGTTTTGAAGCCCTAGTTCAGGTTAGGTGTGGCATAGAAGTCTTATGGACCACCTAGCAATAAATAATAATAATTAATGGATTGTATGAAAATATCTTCAATTTATTGTGCACTAAAAAGGCACTTGTTATCTCAATTGTTAATTAAAAGTAAGCAATCTTAATATGTTTAACACAAAGTATGAGCTGAATGGTACCAAAGAATGTTCTATTAACTTATGTAAAAGATTATTATTGACTCACATATTTCCTCATTATCTGTTTCTACTTTTTTGCTTTATTTATAATCACAGTACATATCAATCACAATATTAAGAGAAAGGAATTCACACCTAAAGGGATTCTTTCAAAGAATACTCATTGCACTATTGCATTGACAAGTTGAAACACGTCTCTCAGTCTGAGTCATAGTAAAATACTGTATCCCGTACTGAGGATATTATGTTGAAGTTTTCCTCTTGTACAGTCTGATAATGGGTGTCAGGATAAAGACTTAATTATAAAAGGTGTTCTTTTTCATTTATATTTGTAAAACTACACATCGGTAGTCACCACTAAATATACATTTTTATTGTATAATTAATTATACTCATAAATATATTTTTAGTAATTTGAGTAAAAGGGCGCAAATTACAACATTTAGAAAAGTCAACAGTATGTTCTAAACATTATTAATATGACTTGTATCTTTCAGAAATAATAGATAATAAAATAGAGAGAAGATAGAAAATCTGATATGATATATAAAGCTATGAAATTAAAAAAAAATGTTAACATGCATAGCTATACATTAAATAATATGAAAACATGCAATCCAAATTATAAAATTACTTAAAAATAGAAACGTTAGTAATTTACGCATTTAGTGGTATAGAGAAGAGTGCTAAAGTGGCTAGTGAAATAAAAATGTGCACATACATAATATTATACAGAATAAGTATGAAGTAGGGACAGCATAAGAGTAATTAAGGTAGAAATAGAATGTTGAAATTCATACCAGTTTCCTTTCCTTGAATACTGAAAATAGTCTCTGTTGAACATCGCCTGCTCCATGAATGTTCTAAATGGATTTAAAATTAATAGACTTTACTAATATTATTTCAAAAACTATGAATATATTAGAAATATGGCTTTATAACAAAATCATAAAATAATAAGTTTTATTAGTAATATTATAAGTTTGTCCATATAACTAAGCTAGCTAGCAGGCTAAAAAGGCGCCTATACCTTACTTTTCTTTAGGTAATGTTGAATCACTTTGTATCTTGTTTAATTCAAAATATGTACTGTAATTTATAATATATCTACTTCTTTTGAACTATTTTGGTATTAAGAAATGCAAAGATTAGCAACAAAACGCTGTCACACTAGACGTACAGCATAACATATGTATTACAAGTTAACGACGCTATTGTAAATAAAAACTTTGTCCTTCAAAACAGCTACTATGGAAAGGAATTCGCGTAACCAACAAACAAAACATAAAATCTCACCTGAGGAGTAGGACGCTGTTATATTCATAATATGTCGCTGACAAAATTAGCGAAGGTAGGATTAGGTTTAACTTCCAGTATTCCTAGTAAAACTAATAAATGTAACTTAGAGACTTGTTTGAACTGGTTTTTGGTTAGTTTGCGTGACCGTAGAGGAAAGAGCAAAAGTAAGTAGGTAATTATCTTTACCAAAGAATCTTCTACAGATCTTTACCATTTCTTGACACTTAGCCGATTAAAACAGGTTATACAAAATCATTATCAGTTGAAACCATAGACTAATGAACACTTCTTAACAAAGAATAACAGGGTATACTGGTTTTTAATAAAATTATATATATTAATTCAACATAATACAAATAAATTAAAATTCAGTCCGTGCTTATAAATTTATTATTTACATAAGTTAAAATCCATGTCAAATGAACAGTTAATAATCTGTAACATTAACTTCCTTTTTGTCTATAGTCTGTGTTTTACGTAGAATACTGAATAGTGAATAACTTCCTTTTCCTTGTGGCATGGTGACGGTGTAAGGTGAGTTTTGTGTTTTTACGGTGTATTTTTATTAAGATGTATGTTTAATTAGATCTCGCGGCACAACCGTTTGATATATATTGCAAAAGATATATATTAGTGTTCTGCGTAAAACTTATTAATAGAACTTCGCGTATTACAAGGATCAAAACGATAGTGGCACGTGTGGATTGAAAAGGTTGTTAGTAAAAGTTTTTTGTTATACGATAGTAACCTTTTCTTCATATGATAGCAGTTTATAGCGTTATCTTGACCGGGTGTTCGAAATATCTTTTTTAGGCCCACGCTCGAGAGGTTATATTATAGAACTAACCTAGGCATTCCAGCGTATCATTTGACGAAGAGGTTATTTATTGTTGTAGTTGCCGCTAAAGCAACCACAATGCCGCAGAACGAATATATTGAGCGCCATCAGAAGCTTTATGGTAGACGACTCGATTATGAAGAGCGTAAAAGAAAACGAGAGGCTCGTGAACCTCACAAGCGTGCCGAAAAGGCCCGCAAGTTGCGGGGTATCAAAGCGAAGATCTACAATAAGGAACGTCGCAATGAAAAGATTCAGATGAAGAAAAAGATCAAAGCACATGAAGAAAAAAATGTCCGACAAAATACAGAGAAAGTTAGCGAAGGAGCTCTGCCCGTGTATCTTTTGGATAGAGATGTCCAGAATCGTGCTAAGGTCTTATCGAATATGATCAAACAGAAACGTAAAGAAAAGGCTGGTAAATGGGATGTTCCAATACCAAAAGTAAGAGCGCAAGCCGATGCTGAAGTGTTCAAAGTATTGAAATCTGGAAAATCAAAAAGGAAAGCGTGGAAACGTATGGTTACCAAAGTTACTTTTGTCGGAGAGAATTTTACCAGAAAACCACCAAAGTTTGAAAGATTTATTCGTCCCATGGCACTCAGGTTTAAAAAAGCTCACGTTACGCATCCAGAATTAAAAGCTACATTTTGCTTACCAATAATTGGTGTAAAGAAAAACCCCAGTTCTCAAATGTACACTAGTCTTGGTGTTATCACAAAGGGTACAGTTATTGAGGTGAATATATCTGAGCTTGGTCTTGTCACACAGGCCGGTAAAGTTGTTTGGGGAAAATATGCCCAGGTGACAAACAATCCTGAAAATGATGGAGTTATCAATGCTATTCTTTTGGTATAAATTAAATATTGTAACAAATATGGTTTTCATTGTAATAAATATTTGCACACTACACAGATTTTTTATTTTCCAACCTCAATTTAAAATACATTTGCAGCTATTCCTAAAACGAAAATTGATATTCATTTTAAATCTAACTCTATCAATTTTTCTGTATAATATATGAAATAGTTACAACAGTCATTATTGAAGGTTTATTTGTTTTACAGGAACCAAGATGCAGATCTTCGTAAAAACCCTAACGGGTAAAACCATTACCCTTGAGGTGGAACCCTCTGATACGATAGAAAATGTCAAAGCTAAAATCCAAGACAAAGAAGGAATTCCACCTGATCAGCAGAGGTAAAATTCATTTCGTGCTCCCTAAATTAAAATATTAATTCTGAGATAGTGATCAAAAACTAATCCACAATATATATTTTTACAGATTGATCTTTGCTGGTAAGCAGCTTGAAGATGGCCGCACACTCTCCGACTATAACATCCAGAAGGAGTCGACACTCCACCTGGTGTTGAGGTTGAGAGGAGGTGCCAAAAAGCGAAAGAAGAAGAATTACTCTACCCCCAAGAAGATTAAGCACAAGAAGAAGAAGGTCAAACTAGCTGTGCTCCGATTCTACAAGGTGATTGGCAATATTGACTAATATCTTTGAAAATCAAACTTGCAGTTTTTTAAAAACAAACAAAAATACAACACAATTTGGTTGGGACAATGGATACATGACTAAACGAAGATGCAGGATATCAACAAATAACCATACCCAAGATGTAGTTAGTTGACCCCAAAAGCGTCATTAGATATTTCAAGTCCCATGACTTCTCTTAAATTTTCTAGGTCGACGAGAACGGTAAAATCCATCGTCTTCGTCGTGAATGTACCGGTGAGCAATGCGGTGCTGGTGTGTTCATGGCCGTCATGGAGGACAGGCACTACTGTGGAAAGTGCCACAGCACCATGGTCTTCAAGGACGACGACAAATAAATTTCCCACTATCTAGATGTAAGACCACTCAGACTGCTGTGTATGACGGATTGAATAAATCTTGACACAGTGTCAGAGATCTTTGTCTTTTTTTTTTACTTGGGTTCCCATTGGTAAGTCGATTTAACATATACTAACCCTCTCAAAACATTTGAGTGTTGGCATGATCTTTATTACTCTCTATTAAAACTTTTAAATTCATAGGTTTGTCATTAGTATTTAGTAAAGGTAAGATGGATCTGATGAATACAACAAAGGAACGTTTTGAAACTGCCAGCGTTGGATTTGCACTGGACTTCAATAAATGGTTTACATAAAACTTTTTTTTTAATAATAATTGGTCGTATTAACAATAATTCTAATATCTAAGTGCAAGTACCTATCCCTCATCTTGTTTAATCTTTTTATATGAAGGTTTTTTACTGCAATATAATAAAATTGGGTATTTTAAAATGCCGTGACTCAATAAAAGATTTATTCAATAATGAGATAAAATTGTCTATCTTATATTATATAAATTAGCGAGTTATTAACAAACGCGGTATAAGCTTAGCGTGATGGTGACATGGATAGCCGTCGTCGGCCGCTTATGCCGCATTTATTAGTACACAGTTGATGTATATTGATTATAACATTAAATTTTGTGCATTTAGTTTTGATTTTGGCAAGATCTTTCATAAGGACAAAAAAAAGTCCCCCAGCGAGTAAAAAACTAAATTCCTTAATTATTTACTCCAGTAAAAGTTCTTGAGAAAGCAAACCTTAAGGTTGTACGCTCGCGCAATATGAAAAACAACCCGTAGTGTACGCGAGTACACATTTAAATAAAACACTTGTAAACTGCAAGAGACCTCCCCCTGTGACCGTGGTTTAATTAAATAGAAGATAATATATTTCACGTTCTAAGTGTTTTATTTAAATAACAGTAAATAACTTATGTTTTTTTTTAATGAATCCATAAGAGATACCAAAATGCTTAGGGAATTGCAAGAACATTTAAACTTATCTATTATGTCCTGTGTCAAACTTTCTATTGCACTCTGGTACACACGTTTCGTAAAACTTATGATATTGAATGGAATGTCCAAACACTGTCACCATTATACACTCTCAATATTGTAACATTTGTACAGGGTAAAGCTATCTTTCTAGTTTTTGATCGTTACGAAAACATTAACGCTAAGTAATTGCATTCATTTAATTGAATTGCAGAATGTATTTGACACGAGAGTAAATAAACAGCACCAATACACGTTCAAAGAAGATCTAATGGAAAACCAATTTCTATATATTTTCTCTTAATACACCAACAACAATTTCACTACATACAATAAAATTACAATGTAAAGGACAATTTGTCCGTTCCGAGGTCACCTACATGTTTCCTACTTTAGTTAACTTTATCGTATTTATACATTTTAAATATATATATTAAACCTATAGATTGAAAGTTGTCAAAAAATTTAGATTATAAAATATAGTATTTGTTTTTTTTTAACATTCAAGTACCAATAAACAAAGACAAGTCAAATAGTGTGGGGGATATATTTTGGGATGTGATGCATTTGTTAAATTCCTTATTACCTACCATCACAAAAATATTACAACACTTATAAAATAAAAGTATTGTAAGTTAATTTATTATTATCTAAGTATATAGTATTTCTTATGAGGGAGTAGAGACGCGACAGACCAATATAACATTTATGTTTCGTAGAAGACGGATATAATGTTTTTTTTTTACATATATATTTATTTTCTCTAGTTAAAATGTAAATGGGAACCCATTTACATTTTGCCTCTTCCGAGAACCTAAAAAGATATAGACGTCAAGGCCTTTGCTATTACTTTAACGTTTACCATACACGATATTACAGGTCACCCTTAACTACTTTTTCCGTAATTTACCATACACTCAGTTTATAAAGTTATACATAATTTAATTTAATCGAGCTGCTGTTTATCATATGGTGTGCATTCTCCGACATATTTAGAATATGCCTTTTTTATTTTAAACGTTCTTCATACAATAATTTTTCCCTAAAGCAGCATCTTTGTTTTCATTTTAATTTAGCTTTGGTTTCAAAATGCTTCACTATACCCTTTAGAGTTCCTTGTGTGTCTGATCATCACCTTCAGCTTTCTCCAGGACCGGTTTGATTGTTTCCAACAGCTTGGACAGCGCTTGCTCGGTCTAGAATGAGTCAGGTATATATTGATATTATTGAAAGAAAACAGTCTAATTTCCTCGCCATACTTTAAAAATATTACGTAGTCGTCGATACCGAACCAACGTTTCGCCCGCACTGGGATTAGAACTCAGGATCTCTCGTACGGCTGCCGAAGCTCGGTGGTAAAAAAATAATATGGGCTCACCTGAGTTAGATGTGCGACGGTCCTGGAGAGCGCGTCTCGCCACGCCAGCAACTGGTGTCGTTGCCGCAGGGTGTGCCTGGCCAGTTGGGCTGACCATTCTGCGGTCTGTGAGGTCCGCGCCGAGCTTAACCTGCATAACAATAATGGCCCTCGAGCAATTTGGTGGCTGGGACTGAACGCGAAACATGCCCAATGTGGTTCATATAATGTTTTGCAGTAGGCAGTAAATTGCTATCCTCACCTAGTTTGCAAGTCGTCAAAGTCGATTCTCCTATCCGCGTAGTACAGATTCCAGTAGAGCAGCGCGTTGATGGCCAGCAACATCACCAAGGCCGCCAACAACCACGGAACGGAGCGGGAGGGCGCGGCTTGGCGAACGGGCAGAGCGTTGGACAAGGGCACGGTGCTCGACACCACGGGCGACAGGGGAGACGACGTTACTGTGTACATTTCATTATATTTCAGCAGTGAAATTGGACGACACCGAAAGACACTGACAGTCATTCTTTTATATTCTCATTGTAGTATGATTTTGCATCATATTGATGGCCTATTTAAATGATAAAACTGCTATATTTTACACTAATCAACTACAATTTTGAAGTAAGAGTAAAGTATATAACTTAAAGGCGCATCCTAAAAAACGGTTTCACAGATAAATAATCTATAAAAATAAGTTAACACAAGCATATATCTTTAAAAGATTAATTAATAATCAAATACAAAAACACAATAGAAATAAAAAGCCGCAAACAAGCAATTAAGTAACAACATTGATAACAACTTGCGCCTGAACTCCGCAGGGTGCACGAAAATATGTCAACATTGTTTAAATCTTGTATTGTACGATTTACACATTCTAAGTAGAGGCGTTCAAAACCCAATATTAGTTCTAGCAGAGGGCAAGTCAGGTGTTACACGAGTGAAGATATTCATGAGTAATTACCGTATATTTCCTCACATTTAACTGGAGAGCATTTAACAGAAAGAAAAATAACTTGTATAATTCAATACATGAATACATCGTGGTGATATTTTTCTCTTGTAATTACAAAATACAAATTTTGCCACGCAGATGTACTCCCGCGCTAAGCAGGTATAAAAGTAGTAAGTGTATGTATAAGAAGGCAGTAGTATAGAACGGTACTTACCGTCATGGCGTCTCCGCCTCCTGATTCGTGCTGCCGGCGCAGCGGGCGCGAGTTGCGCTCGCAACTGGCTTTCAAGCATTCGCGAGAACTCCTCCAAACCGTTCATCGTGTTCTTCTCTAGAAAGGCTGTTAACGAAATGAGGTGAATGAGAGAACTTTTCACAACACAAAAATAATCGAAAGCCTCAAAGAGGCTTCAGTTAGGAATGTATGGAATTGTACGTGTAATTCACGTTCCATAAAAACATAAAATCTAGATGTAATCAATTTTATAACTTAATTATCTAAACGACGATAAAGTGATGTAGGATGCTATTAAAAGGTAATAATAGGAATAAAAATTGGTTTCAAATGAACCCTTGTCGATACCTTTAACCATGGGCCACATGCTCTTCTTGTAGTTGACCCAGCCGTACAAGGTGAGCTGCGTGACCGTGTCCGAGGAGCGCTGCAGGCAGTAGTGCGCCTCCACGCTGAAGTAGTCTGCGTAGGGGATGCCAGAGTTCTCGCTCGAGCAATTGATTGAGTACAGGTAACCGGGCTTCGAGCATTTGTTCATTGTCTGGTTAGAATTGAAAACGTATTAGTTGCACGTCCACACTGACTGATTACTGAGAAATGTTAGATATAATAAGGAAAGCAAATTTCATTTTCTATTTTCATCGGAAACGGGTTAATTATGAGACTTGGACGAGAAAGATGTGTATATAATAATATGTGTAATGATAATAACTTTATCGACCGCAATACAAAAACATACGAGGGGTTAATCAATAAAGAATATTTACACTTTAAATGAAATAATGAAAGCGATACCTGCGTCTCACTGACGTGCACCTCCTTGGGGCCTATAGGCCCAGAAGTGAGGCTCAACCTATAGCTCACTTGGCGACACTTAACGCCGTTCTGTCGCCGCCATGGGGCCTGGTAATCACAAATAATACATTTACGAAATGGGGAAATTTTCGATGAGATGGTTTTTGCGGCGTTACACTTTATTATTATTATTATTTTCTATCGGGGACACCTTCGGCTGGACGGGTGATCAGTCCACGTTGTCCGCTGACCATTTCACCCATTTCCCCATGGCGTTACACTTTAAGAAGCGCACAATTTATTGCAGATTACCGATATTCACCGCCGATGTAGCCAAATGGTTAAACGCGAACGCCTAGCGAAACATTAAATTGTTTCGGTCGGGCAGGACACAGAAGTCTGATCAACTACTTGCCCGTTAAAAGAACGGATCAGTGACACGGACACAGAAATGTGTTCGCCCATGCCCCACGAGAGACAAAACGGGCTTTCACATCACATCGATATTCACGGATTTTAACTCTAATTGAAACAAAGTGACTACCTGTACGTAATCAGACGCTCCCCTCAATGCCAACAGTTCCAAGTGGAAGCGCGAGTTGGTAAATATCATGGTGAAGAGTTGGTCAATGTTGAAGGGGTACGCGCCTTGGAGCAACACTTTACCCTCGTGCGGAGACGTGCACGATAAGTCCTCGGTATTACTGAAATCATTACATTCACTTTATGGACGTATGCAGGCACAATACTGTATCCGGTCACACATCTTTTTATCTATGGGAAATACATAAGTGGTATAGTCAGGCAGATGAGATAAAGGCTTTACAATTAAAGCGTTAATATTCAAATCTTCAACTTAGTCGTGGCAAAAATTGGATGACGCACATACTTGTGTTGCCGATCCGGTTCACTCTCGCTAGTATCCGACATGTCCGTGGGTAAAGTGTCCGCTTCCCGATCTCGGTCTACGCCCACCATGTCACCGTCGCCATTTACTGTAAAATATACAGATCTCGTATAAAAAAACAATGTATTTATTTACTTACCTAAGGGAATTGGTAATAAACTGTTGAGAATTAATAACAAAACACCTTGAGTCCTTCTTTTTAATTGGAATCTACAATCAACAAAGCTAAACACTTCAACTCTAGTTTCGGTCATACTGGGATTGAGGGCAACTTGTACTCACGCAGGGGCGGTGATATCCCTCTCGTGTCTCGACCTTCTCGACCATCTTGCTCAATAGACGACGCATCCACTGCTTCCTTTAATGTTAAAAAACTTTGAAGTAGCGGTAGATACACTGATCCTAACCAAACATAACTTCAACTTCTATGTTTTGTTGCTCTTATTGATTAAAAAGTCAATAATTATTTTTAAAAATGTATGCTTCTGTTTACTAACTGCCTTTATAAGCTAATTAATTGAAAACGTACTCCTATCTTGGTTCGAGCGAGCCTCACCATGTTTTCATTGCGAATGTCGAAATATCTCTGGCTATCTCGCGACCGGCAAATAATCAGTCTTTGAAGATAAATAGTTTATCGGCCGCTTTACACGAAATTGTGTTCTATTACCGACTCCGATATACACCCGTGGTGTTCAATACTTTTTCATTAAATATGTTCGACCATCGATGATAATACAAAAATAAAAACCAGCGCCCACTTTAATTTGTGTCGGTCGTGCTACTGAATTTTATAAGGTTGAAACGATTATGCGAAAATCTGTATGATAAATTATTTAACCAAACCAAAACTGTAATGGAGTCGCTAAAAACCAGAGTAAGTCAGAATAGATAGTGATATATTGACAAAATGTTATAAAAGATATCGCCTTATCGACCATAATTAGTTATAGTGTTTATTGTCGAGATGAGACGGTTTACATATTTAATAGAAAATGGTTTACTGTACAGATTCCAGAATATGTTTGAGTTTGAAACGAAAGATCTTGTTGTAGTTTCCAACTTTGAATACGATATTGCGAAGTGAAAACGTTACTAACCTCCGACGTGTCAGGTAGCTGCGGCGCGTCGTCCGTTTCGCGAGTGTATCCTTCGTCGTCAGAATCGAAGCCCAACTCCTGCCCGTAGCAGGTGTGCACCTGAGAAAGGAGAAAGCGGTTTATTAACTTGAACGTGTAGGACTAGTTTTGCTCAAGAGAAATGCTTTTGTTAATAAATTAAATGCTTTAATTAATTTTAAAACAGATAACGAATTAAAATTTCCCCGAAGACTAACGTGACGAAATTGGCGCGCGTCCCCTTCGACAAATCAAAAAATACTAATCCGAGTCGTCCTTGATACAATGCTAATACATATTACAATTTCGCCTTAACTCGTGCGACACACTGGCGAGCACTTGCTTTGCGTTAATATCAACTTACCAAAGTTGGTGCCTTCTAAAGCCGGTTGAAAACGTACAATTATATCAACTCCGTCGTTCGGGCTTAGGTAGGGCGTTAAGGGAGGAAATCCGACTTTATGCCTAACTTTGTTGTTTCTTAACATATAGTAATTAATGAAAATCGATCAAATCCCGTCAGAGGCGAGTAGCATTGTTGAGAAGAGAATGATATTTTCATTAGGTATTACTTTTTCTAAATCCCCTGCCGTCGTGTGTTCTCGCGCAAGGTGTTTGACCAAACTTTGTAATTCTAATGCGACCGGATTCAAAACAAGTCGGTCACACGCAAATATTCCATTATATTCGATGTATATATGTGCATAATTTTATTTTAGAATCAATAAGAATTAGGTTTTCTTTGAGGAAATTCATAGTTTCGTAAAGAAGAGACTCTAGAACCAGATTCAGCTCAATGATAAAATACGAAGGCAAGCATGGCCTTACCCATTGCCAGATCTCGTTGGTAGTCATAGGTTGGTCCATCAGCGCATTCTGCCAAATCCGAAACAGCATCAAATAAGCTTTGTCCCGACCGGAGAATGACGTGAGGAAATTCTTCTCACTTTCGGTGCACACTAGTATCGCGTTGGGTATGACCTCGGATAAAAACATAATTTAATTGCTATTAATAGTTATAGTTAGGACAATTCTAATAAAGAAATATATTGCCAAACATTTACTCTACACGAGTCCAAGAGATCGATCAACATAATTTTCAAATTGGTGCCGCAAATTAGGTGCCGTGCGTATCATCGAATTGTTTCAGTCTAATAAGAAATGTTTACATTCTTTTATAGAGTCAAATACGCTTCACGGCGCCTACTCACGAGTGCAGTCTTCTCCTTAGTGATGGCGGTGACGTCTTTCCACCGGAGCGTCATCGAGGTTTCCCAGCCGAAGATATTAGCGTAGAAGCACAGGTAGCTCTGCGACGCGTACAGACGCCCGTGGGCGAGGATGTCGCGTTGTATAGCGCAGGAGTAATCTGTGGAGAGATACATACAAGTTCTGTTTATGCCCGTGACTATTGGTGTCCTTGTCCTATGTTGGGAATTGTGAAAAGAGAGACTCGTTGTTACTCTAATACAGTTACTACTAATAGAGTATACTAAATGGAATTAAAAAAACTAAAAATCTCCTTAAATTTCATAAGCAATAAATGTCGCACCTACTATGAGCCTCTCGTCGTCTGGTAGATCCTTAAACAGTCGCTTGAAGTCTTCTGACTTCGTCTTGTATGTGGGGTAAAGAGAATTGTACCAACTTTTCTTCTTGGCGCGACCGCTGCCGTCCGAACTACGCGATCCGGGATTTGAAAGCTGCTGGTTATATAAATTTTAATTAGACTAAAGCCATCATGAATTAATGTTGCACGGATGGGGTATTTCCCCTCCCTTTAAGTAAACCCCTCTTCTTTTCTCTGCCATAAAAAGTCCAGATGTGATAAAAACCTTGTTAAATTCTGGTTTGAGTGAAGCGACCAGCGCCACATCGACACCGGCCGATACGTCACCAGCGGCGCCGCTCGACACCGTGACGGATGTGTCACTCTTCTGAAATCAGGCAAATAACAAATTTAATCAAATCGGCGAAGTGCGAGTAGAAAGCTCGCAAGAAACTGTCCGTATTTTGTATCATTTATTGTTAGCGATCAAATACTACGTTTGTATGCACTTTTAAATATTTATTTTATAATACATTACAAAAATTAGTATAAATACAACTTATTTAGAGCCATTATCATTATAAAGTAAAATCCCTCAATATACGGAGACAACTTTCTAGGGATTGTGGTTCTTGAGATACAAACATATTTCTAAGACTGAATACAAGAGTTCTGTAAAACTCACCCCATCATTATCATTTTCATAATTCTCCCTGCACTCGGTGAGTCGCAACGACGGCGAAGGTGAACGTGACAAGTTTCTAGAACCAAAGAAATAATATGTACAGTTCATTGCGATAGACCACTAAAATCAGTAAACACTTCTGATGGTTTTACCATCAGAACTTGCCTTTGATGCTTATAATAAAATTGCATTTTACATTTTATAGGTAAAAACAACAACAAGTTCATTATACAAAATCTACTTATCAATAACACACGGCTATATCAAGCATGTTACCCCATTGCGTATCATCAGATCTATTTTATTGGCCTTACTTTATGCTATTTTCTATTACATTACATCATTTACTTCTCTAATCACATAATGTCTATGTCTCTAATCATACAGACTAATTGTAAAGATAACAGCAGAGACATACGCATAGTATGTGAGCAAGACTATTATATTATTTAATCACAGCATTTCACACATTCAGCCATTTTATTAAGTCTCAGTATAAAGTTGAACTTACCTCGTTTCTTGTACTTGACTGTTGCTTATTCCTGAAAAGCTAAGTGCTTGACTAATACTCTGGCCTATTGCATCTTGAGAGGATACTACTAAATTTTCCACTGACTTTCTCCTGAAATTGACATATTAATGTATTATTTGCATGCTTATATTATAATGTTTACTATATTGGAATTATATATTTTATGCTTAAATTATATTTGCCTTATATTTAAACCTTTTATTGCTCATCTCTGACTGTGTTGCCTAGCATAGCATTGAGCACAAATGGCCCTGGTTGAAGATCCTAGGGTGACAATACATTATTTTGGTCGGGCATGGCACTGAGTCTTACTAAATTTGATTAACTACTTGCCTCTAGTATAAATTGATCAGTGAAACTCACACACACCACTTCAAAGTTATCAAAAAGATAATCTATACGCTAATAAAATTAAAAATGTTTATGACTTTTCGTGCAAAGTGCAAACTTTAATGATTAATCATGGCAAAAACAAAAATGTAAACAAAAACCTCAGGGTATAGGAAAAATTTTATACTCTGAGTCTATAAATGTTATTAACTTTAATGAAATGAAGCTTATAAATAATTTAGAGTTTGAAGAACAAATAACTTACACAGATAACGCGACATTTCGGCTTTCCAGCTCCGGAGAAGTCATTATAAGATTATCTTTTTGTTGTGTGTAGTTTAGATGCCTTTCTCTTTTGTTTTCAGTATCCTATCACACTTATTCCTGCTACTGATTTTCATTATCTAAACAAATAATTTCAGATTTCTAAAATAAATTCACTGAGACTAAAAGAATCACAAAGTTAATAATTACTATTTATCAAACTCCAATATTTAATAGATAGACGATAGTACAATAACCAGTGATGCCAACTTCTACAACATACATAAGAAAAAAAAAAAATGTTTCGTGTTTATTATTACTGGTAGATTTTTTAAAATCTTTTTTTATGTTCTAGTACGGTCAAAACAACATTTAGAATTAATAACTTTTTTGCCTCACTACCTTTTTATTAAATATAGGTCTTCGAAAACGAATGTATTTTAATCATCGGCAAAGAACTACGACTTGACTATCAATTATCATCTAAAAATCCCCTCAATTTGGGAGAAAGCCAAGGAGTTGGAATCACTGACATTAACACTTAACAGTGCTGCGGAAACGGTAGAAATTAAATAATTATTATCTCTAGCACACTGTCACGAAGTAATAAATATTTTAAGTCTGTAAAGTAACTTCACGCATATGAAAGAAAATTAATTTTATCCGTTTACAAACCACATAATTAATACAAGCGACTTACGAAAATTACATGTATCCGTATTACTAAAAAAATATAATTGGCTTAAAGGTCTCGCTATTACACCATAAAATATTAAAACAAAAAGTAAAACAAATTGGCATTTCTGTCATCTCACACCTGTCAAAACAGTATGATTTGGAATATTGTGCTGTGATAGCTTGAGTAAAACATGTTTAAGTACTAAAAAGGAATTAATATATGAGAGCGAATAATGGCAGATACTGCTATCTTCGACAAGAAAAAATCCCATCGCGCCAAACATGCAGGACGGAAAGCAGAGAAGAAGAAAAAGAAAAACCAGGTTGATCAATCTAACCTAAGTGCGCGTCAGAGAAATCCTAAAGCTTTTGCTATCCAATCAGTCGTGCGAGCTGAAAGACAGTTTCGTCGAAAGGAAGATGTTATCGCTAAGAAACAGCACATCCCACAAGTAGACAAAACTCCCCTTGAGCCTCCTCCGATTGTGGTCGCTATTGTTGGCCCGCCGCGCGTCGGTAAAACCACACTCATCAATAATTTGATTAAAAGTTTTATAAAAACTAATGTTACCAACACAAATGGCCCAATAACTATTGTCACATCAAAAAAACGGCGCATAACGTTAATAGAGTGTAATAACGACATTAACTCCATGATTGATATTGCAAAGTGTGCTGATCTCGTATTACTGCTTTGTGATGCAAGTTTTGGTTTTGAAATGGAGATATTTGAATTTCTAAATATATGCCAAGTTCATGGAATGCCAAAAGTAATGGGTGTGCTCACTCATCTGGATATGATAAAGAATGCTAAGAAACTTAAAATGACAAAGAAGACCCTAAAGCATAGATTTTGGACAGAAGTATATCAAGGAGCCAAATTATTCTATTTATCTGGTATAATTCATGGGGAGTATTTGCGCAATGAAATAAAGAACTTATCCAGGTTTATTTCAGTGATGAAGTTTAGAGCTCTGAGTTGGCGCACAAGCCATGCTTATATATTGGCAGATAGGATGGAGGATATTACAAGTCAAGACAACATCCGCAAGGACCCAAAAGTTTCCAGAGATATTGTTTTATATGGATATGTAAGAGGTGTTCCATTGATGAAAGATTCAATGGTTCATGTTGCAGGTAAATATTTTCTACTTCTGCTTTATTTCAAAAACAAGTTATCCTAACAAATTTCTTTAAACATTGTTGTACTGTAATTATAAATACAATATTAAAAAATATTTTTTTTTGTATTAGGTCTTTACAAAATGTCAAATTGTATGTTGCAGGTGTTGGTGACATTAAAATAAGTGACCTCTCATACTTACCTGATCCATGCCCTCTACCAAGCAGTGAACGGAAACGACATTTAATGGAACGAGAAAGGCAAATCTATGCCCCATTTTCTGGGGTAGGAGGAATAGTTTATGACAAAGATGCAGTATATATTGAACTGAAAGGTTCCCATTCACATAAAACAGAAGATGAAGAGACAAATGAAAAGAAAACACTGCTTAAAAATGTTGTTGATACTAAGGAGACTATTGATGAACAGATGAAAGAGACTGGTTTTAAATTGTTTAGTGGAGGTGCGGTTATATACCCTGATATGGTGAAGGATGATGAGTATTTAAAGCAAAACAAAAATAACGATGAGAGTTCTGCAGAATCTGATGTTGAAACTGATAGTGAATCAGAAAATGACAGTGGTATTGACCATACTGAGAAATTACCTTGGGATAATAATTTTGATTCGGAAAATGGTGAGGACGTAGATGCAGATGACAAGGATAATATGAGCAATAAAAATGAACAAAGTTCAGATGAAGATGATCAAAGTTCTGATACTAATGAAGAGTTTGGTGCAAAGTGGAAAGAAAAGCTAAGTGAGAGAGCTACTATGGCATATTTTGACAGGCAAAAAACTTCAAAGAACATTATGAAACTGATTTATGGTGACTTTGAAGTTGGAAATAAGGTGAAGGATCAAAATAATGACCCAAGTGAAGAGAGCGAAGAAGAAATTGGTGGTTTATTTAAAAGAGTAACAAATTCACAAAAACGTAAACAAAAACTAAAAGATCAATTAGATACTGATGAGTGTTCATACTTTTATGCTTTAAATAAGCCTCTAATTAAAGATTGGACTAATGATGCCAATAGACAGATATTGATAAACAATTTTGTAACTGGAAAGAGGTCTGCCGATGAAGATGCAGAGGAACTACTTAAATTAGATGATGCAAGTGATGGAGATGATGAAATGTATGGAGATTTTGAAGATTTAGAAACTGGTGAAAAACATAAAGCAAAAGAGGCAGAGAATGATAACGAAGTAGGATTGAAACGCAAGGCAGAACCCATAAAATCAGAGATTCTGGACAAAAAAATGAAATTGAAAGCAAAGTTTGATGCTGAATACGATAATCCAGATGATCACAGAATAAAAGGGGATCACTCTTACTATGAAAACCTTAAGGCGGAAGCTTTAAAACAGTCTGAATTAAACAAATCTGTTTTCGAAAACTTAGATGAAGGTTTAAGGGTTGAAGTTGAAGGTTTTAGATCAGGTTTATACGTTAGAATGCTATTCAAAGGCATGCCTTCGGAATTTGTTACTAATTTCGACGCAAGTTACCCAATACTCATTGGATCATTAAATATGGCTGAACAAAATATTGGTTTCGTGTCATGCAAAGTGAAGAAGCACAGGTGGTATAAGAGAATCTTAAAAACAAATGACCCCTTAATTATCTCTCTTGGTTGGCGTCGGTTCCAGACATTGCCAATATATTCTAAAATCGAAGATGATTTAAAATGTAGGTACTTGAAATATACCCCTGAACATGTCACATGTAACATGCATTTCTATGGGCCCGTAACACCTCAGAATACAGGTTTCTTGGCTTTACAGACAGTTACGAACAGCTCAACAGAAATAAAGCAATTAGGCTTTAGGATTGCTGCAACAGGTAGTGTGAATGAAATAAATAAATCTACACAAATTATGAAGAAGTTGAAATTAGTAGGAACCCCATTGAAAATTTACAAAAAAACTGCATTTGTAAAGGACATGTTTACGAGCACTCTAGAAGTAGCTAAGTTTGAGGGGGCCAGAATAAAAACAGTATCCGGAATACGAGGCCAAATAAAAAAGGCTCTGAATAAACCAGAAGGCGCTTTTCGAGCTACATTTGAAGACAAGATACAAATGAGTGATATAGTTTTTTGCCGAACATGGTTTAAAGTAGATGTGACTAAATTTTATGCACCCGTGGTCAATCTACTACTTCCTTTAGGAAATAAAAATGCATGGCTAGGGATGAAAACGAAGGGACAGTTAAAACGAGAGAATAACATAAGAAATGAGGCTAACACTGACTCTATGTATACAGAAATTGTGAGACAACCTAAAGTCTTTAAACCACTCGTAATTCCGAAACAACTACAAAAAGGTTTACCTTATAAATTGAAGCCTAAGAATAATAGAATATCTACGACTAATAAGAAGGGAAAACACGAGGGACGGATAGCAGTTGTCAAGAGCCAATATGAGCAAAAGGTATCTAAGGTAATGAAGATGGTTAGGACAAACTACAACAAAAAGAAAAAGGATCAAAGAGTAGCGGCTCAGGAAAGAACTAGCAAATTTAAGAGACAACAAGAGGAGGACGAGTGGAGAAAATTAAAACGACAAAAAGAGTTAAAAAAGAAGATTTGTAGACAATTAAGTAAAATGTCCAGCAAGAAAAAACCTCAAATGTAATTATTTTCTATAAAATTGGTGCTTAATTGTAAACTTCGTTTTTATCTCAATAGAATTAAAACATGGAATATTGTGTAAATTGTATTTACTTCTTATCATTATGCATAACGTACGTCATCGCATGTTGGTAAGTCTTTACAAAAGTTTACACAGTTCAGATTACATTGGTCAACACAATCACTGAATACAATACTCGAGGAATGCCCTAAATTTTCGATTTACACGAATACTTCAATGTATATAGGAGGGCGAAGCGTTATCTCACACAAAGCCTGGAATGTGCCCGCTCTCGGAGCGAGACGTGCGGTCTCAACCGTCGGGTTGACGTGCAAAAATTATATACAACTCTCTACCACCCTATTTAAGATTAATCCTTATCAAGGTAACTGTACTCTTTGGTAGCGCGAGCCACATTTCTGTCTGGAATGTCTATGGAGATACGTGAAACCGGCGTTGGCACTTGAGGAGTTTCGGATACTACGCGACAACAGAGGAACAATTTGGGTTGGAAATTGCGATATTGGTCTATTTGCCTAACCTTCAATCTTTTAAACTACCTTAACAAGCGAGAAATTCCACTACATATTCGACGGTTCGATTTCAGTAGATCTCGCGCGAACTGACTGAAAATATAGCGGCGTTAACGCGTTTAACGTTTAAAAGTGCCAATCTCAGTAAAAAGTTTTCAATTTCAGTTACTCTGACGTAAATAAATTGTACACGGCAACAGCGCACACTCGTCTCTAACAAAAAACTGACTGAGCACTCTGTCCCACAGGTGTCGCTCGCCATGGCCCCGCCGCCGAAACGTGATTACGATGAGCACAACAAGAGATATTTATATTTTGGGACCGCTCAGCGTTCACTCCACTTTATTTGACTAGCCACCGCAATTTAACTATTTATCGCTAATACTTGTGACCACCTACTCACTAAAAGAAGACCGATTCCACAAAAAGAAATTAGCATTTTTTTGAATGCCTTCAACCGTACAATAACGTACCGCACCGAACTCGAAATATTGAGTTCCGCACGTCAAACGTTTACTGACGAGCGACTCGGCTAAGGACCGTCCGGAAAAGTGATATTCGTTCTTATAATAGTTGCACTCCACATTTATCAAATTGTGCGTCAAAACCTTCCACATGTTCGCCAATAAATACATAGTTGTCTAGGTAAGTTTAATGCGTGGTCACTTTATACATATTATAATACTGTTTTTAATATTACACTTCGTTTCGGTAAATCTATAACCGAGTGTAGTCAAATACAAAAGCGAACCCGCTCGATGACTTTTGCACTCGACCGCCCGACTAAAATCAACTATTAAGGTACGTACATATAAAACATTGTGATATTTTGACAACCGTTAGAATAAGACAATATGAGGTAATATGTATTCCTTTACCGACTGCGAAGCGATCAATAAATAATAGTCTAATAATAAATTAAGCGTTAACATAATATAAAACGAACGTCTAGTATGAACACATCCTATATAAGTATCGCTACGATATATAAACGCTATAGTACATAAACCGTATGTACAACGACAGATTCGATTAAACTAAATTATAAGCTATACAATAGTAGTTTCTCTTAATCGTATGCACCGGAGCGCCGGCGCTGGACGACGTCCGAAGTGAACGCGTTTCATAGCCGATAGACTCGTCTAGCGGCGGCGCAACGAGTCGATGTCAACACTTAGTAAAAAAAGATTATAAAATGACGCGTCAACACTGTACACGATACGGGATCGCGTTTGCTCCTACATTTACTCTTTATCTCGTTTGGCGGATCTATAATAGCGTATCATACGTATATCTTTATACATATAGTACTTTCCGTGTGATGCTAAATGTAGAAGCACACACCGATCGGGTAATTATTCCTATGGAGGTATATACATACGCTGACCTTAGCCGTAGCTAGGCACTTACCTGATTTCGAGAACGACATTCACTCATTACCTAAAATAGGCACAGTTATCTGGAACCGTGCCTGTTTTGCCGTCTATTGTGCCGGATCAACAAAAATAAGAAAAGATAAAATTAATTCATCGAATACAATACAATTTTCGTAGACAAATACGACGTCTCGAGAGGATACTCTATTAAGGCTTAAGCGAGTTTAACACTTGTTAAATATGGGAATACATTCGTAATTAAGTACATAGGAAATCTACATTAGAGCATTTTGTTACATTTCGTAAAGCGTCACACTAACCACCAATAATATACACGTTTCGACATATTTCATTAATAACAAGGCGACACTAACGAGACGCAGTTCCATTGACTAGTCGGTGTTCCCGAGTGTTGCTCGCGAAATATAACAATCGGATCGGTCATGACCGCTTCCGAGTATCGCCTAATCTACACAGACACTGGTATTGGAATTGCCGCACGTAGCGTTGAGTAGATTTCAGATCTCAAACCCAATGTGGAAATAATCTGTACAATTCCAATGCCAATCTAAGTGACACGATGGGGTGCTACGGTTGACGTCAGAGCGCCGACCGCTTAGTTGATGGTGTGATGTCAGGAGGCGGCAGCGTGCTCGTGGGGTTGCCGCGCTTTGCGCTCCGTTCCACTTCCTAATAAGTTGTTGAATTCCATTTCTAGAATTTGACGCGCCTGAAAAAAATAACGAATTGAAGGGAATCCCACACATTACAGAGTTTAGCTACATTAGAAAAGTCCTATACAGAGTCAAACTCTTTTATTGTGCGCGTTTTACTAGGAAGTTTTATGATAAAGGAAATTAACCTACTTAATCCTACGAATCTAAGTAAGTCTCGTTACAATTATACCTGCGTGTTTTGTGTCGGTATTTGTAAAGCCAGCGCCATACTGTTGGCGTCGAAGTTGTCATCGAGCGCTATCAGGGCGCCGTGCACGCCACTTTCCGAAAGATTGGCTGCGTATTCCTAAAAAATAAACGTAATTATCTATATTTGAATAAGTGACCACAACTGATGAGAAGTAAGCTGAACTTTGGTTTGTCAAAGTTTAACAAGTTAATATTCATAAAATCTCGTTTAACATTAATAAATTTGTTTTCGTTTCGACAATTTGTACTTGAAATTTAGTCACAGAACTACTTTGCCTGTAATCAGTTAGTCCTGGTTGAGTCCTACCTTCAGGTTGATAGCCGTAAGCCATCGCTGCAATCTCTCGTTGGTCCAGACTAGAACGTCTCGTATGCAGTGCTCCGCCGCGCGACGCCTCTCCTCCAGGGCTCGAACCGAATAACCTACTCGCTTGAGACACGCCACGCCGAAGTGCAGTGACGTCCTAAATTATTCAACATTAAATACAAATTTTTGGTTATATAGAACAAAAACCGGATTTAGAACGGTTATACTATATTATCTGTCCCACCTGTGAAAACTGTCGAGCATCTTGAGCTGCGTGCGCAAGTCTCGTTTGGTGAGATGTTCCAACATCCTCGCATCCACAAGGCACTCCATAAAGGTCGTTCGGTATTGGGGTAAACCTGCGCAGAGTTAACGGTGGGTCGTGTTAAACTAGAAACTTGTTATGCTCATGATGTAATCGTGCGAAGTGTAATAAAGGTAGGCTGTGCCTCGTTATATTACACTATTTAAATAGTCGTCAAATTCCAATAAAATTTGACTTAGGATTATACACTACTCGAAGCGAGCGAAGATCCAGATGGCAAAAAGGACCTTTACGACATTTTGTCGAGAGAGTTGCGACTCACCGAGCGAGGGTAACCAGACATTGCCGATCCATTCGTGGTTCATGTCCCCGAAGGCGAGCGCCGCACAGGCCGTACCGCGCGGCGCAGACGGCGAAGTGAGCGAAACCATTTCTTGGATGGCGAGGCGCAGCTTCAGTCGATGGAGGGGGTTGCTGATGCCTGCAAGTTTCAATAGAGATAAGAGTCCCGCTTAAGATACGATTCTCATATCATTCCTCGGTACATTAAATCTGACATGTAATTCTATTACTTTTTTGCATTTAAAGTCTGGACGTTCACGTGTATATGTAGAAGAGCTTTTGTACATACACGTACAAAAGCTATCTTTAAATAAACTATTTTAACGGTTAAAAACTCGAATACGACGATATATAAGTAACTTTTATTTAAATGTGTACTGCTCGCGTAAACCACAGACAGTTCGCACATCTAACCTATTTCTCTTTGAATCTCCTGATCGGAAAGCGCAGACATGATGGCCCCCGACTTGACGTTGGCCCGGCACGCGGCCACGTACCACGCGGGCATACCGACCCACAGCTCCAGCCACGCAACCACCGTAGGGCCGTTCCACAAGGCGAAGGGCGTGCCCGCACGCATAGCTTCACCCAGCAATTCGTGACGGTAGTCGCGATCTCTGTAATAATCAGTGAGTGTGTGGATTATATAATCATATTAAGGTAAAAGTTAGTTATAAACATAAAGATATTTCTTGAAATCCAGTTGTAACACGCGGGGCCAATCAATATATCAAACAACAATATTTCCCACACAGTGGTTATGATATGTATTTTTTTATTATAAGTTGCATTGCGGTAAATATAGCAGTTTATAAATAGATAATATAACTGAATGATTCGAGCAATTTTATCACATTCAAAATAAAAATAGTCAGGCAATATTTAAGAAACAAATAAACCCACTTGGTTTTTGTCCTCGCGTAATCTTGATGCTGCATCGGTACCTGCGTACCGCTCTGTGACATCTGGCTGTCATCGTCTGCTAAAGATGACAGTCCCAACGATGACACCGAGGAGAGGGTCCTGCCCCCTTGACCTTGTACCTGTTCAAATAATATTTCAATGACGGGAAGGTTAACTTACACGGTACCTATATGCTAGATAAGCAGTTAGTTAAAATTAAAGCACTACATAAATATAAACGCCAAATATGATTTCTCTCAACACAATTTGATGCATGTACAAAAAGGACAGTAGGGTAATTCACTGATACTAACCGGTAACCCAGCTTTATCTTTTTTACTAAAGAATCTTCCGAGCGAGCTCTTAATGCCTCGTTTTTTCTGTTGGTGCATCGATGCAATGGAAACGGCCGATGCGGCAGAAGACACACCGCGGGGAAGTCCCGGCGAGGTGCCGCCGCCCCAGGTGCCGGTGGCACCGCCCAAAGACTCTTGGCTCGAACTGCTGTACGTTTAAGATAGATGTCAAAAAATATCTATTAATATGGCCATGTTACGTGTGCGGTGTAGAGCGTAATGTAGCTGCAGAAAGTGTGACGTGGACATACTACATTAAAAACTTGCGAAGAAAAATTAAGTAAATAAAAAACTGTTCCAAATTGTTAAGTTACAATGTGGAACAATGAAGTAGGGGAGCGAACATAATTTATGTGCAGTGTACAGCTATACATAATAACCTTGCTAATTGCAAATCTTAAATTACAAGTATATCCGATATTAAATACTGTCTATGGTTTACGCGAGTAGTACACATTTAAATAAAACACTTTAACGTGGTCTCCCCGTGACCACGGCTGCTGCAAAGCATCCGAAACGTCGGGCCGAAGTTAAAAATCAGTTTCAAATATGTTTTACTAATATATCGCGTTTTAAACCGTTAAAGTGTTTTATTTAAATATATCCGATATTATTAAAAGAACCTGTGCATTGGAATCCGGGCCATGCTTCCCGACATAATAGAAGACCTGAGCAGCGTGGAAAAAAGAAATCTTCAGTTAAATTGATTCATGGTATAGTAGCCTTCAGCCTTAGTCCTTTCAAACGTATTGCGAAAAGTATAGTTAATATAGTCGAGTAGAACAAACATTATAGTATTTTTGTTGGTGGTAGCAGGGGTGTGGGTGCAGACGGCTGATCATCACCATTTTTGTATGTTTACTTATTGATTTTAAACAGCCAGTCACAGTAACACATTTTGTGTTAGCTTCTGTTAGTATTAGAATGTGGGATTTTTATATAACATTTTTTTATGATTAGTACTTACGAGTCGTAAGGAGCGGGGTAGTGAGTTCTCAGTCTATCTCTCTCAGCGTGTATGGCCCGCGCCGCTCGTTCTAGTCGGATTGATCGCGCCGTTAATGGAGATTCTGCCCCTTCGCCGACTCCGCCCACCATGCCCACGCTGGGCACGCCTACTCCGCTTACACCCTCCTCGCAGAGCTGCAACTGTTTTTGTGTTATTCTAGCGTATTCTACACCGTTATTACAGTTCAGTTGTTAACACAAAGTCTACGAGAGATTCAACATAAGAACGTATAATTATTTATTAACAATAATAGTAATGGTTGATTATATCGCTCCTCATCATTCATCGTCAATAATATACTCTCAATGTGTGATCGTATTTTGTATACAACAGCGAAGGCAATAGTGTCAGATTAGGCTTTGTACATATATAAACTCCTGTACAAAAAGAAGCGTTGGCAGGAAACTATCGTAAGATAAGGTGCTTAAAGGTATGTAAGAGGCATATAGTACATGAAAAAACACCCAGCTATAAAATACATTGTGTAATTCGCGAGTATTCAAGTCTAGGAAAGGACTAGAGGCAACGGGAAAAGGACTTTGTCAGTTGCGATCTGTGCAGAGACGGTCAAAAGCTTTTTGCTTAGCAATTTCATGTTGAATGTAATTTTGAAACGTGAGCGCCAATTACGACGTGATACAGCAGTATAAATGCGGAAAATCACAAATTTACGATAACGAAAGTGCATTTTTGGGAGTTAGGGATAATTGCATTTACAAATGAGTCAGACTAATGTATCATCGAAGTGTCCAATGAAAACAAAACCTACTTATGCTTAATATATGCGTAATATAATAATGTATTAGTCTGACTCAATAGAATAGGAAAAAAATAGACGCCACAGGGTATTCCCACGCACCTGGCTAGAGGGCAGACTCTCTGATGCAGTAGCGGCGCGGTAGTGCGCGTGCGCCGGTGACATAGACGCGGGCGCCTGGCACCACACATTGTTGTTACTAGCTTTGTTTTTTATTTATATAAACTGCCTTTGATTTAGCTACTCAATTAGGGTATTTTGCGCTGAAGTATTTTACTTGTGAATTCTCTTAACTAACAGATAATACCTTGAAACGCAGTTTAAGCTGAAGAAGTAAAAACTTTTTCAGTCATGGTATCTCTTTGTTACTTGCAAATATTAGATAGTACTTACAGTGTGATATTTATGATGCATATGTGTATGTGATGGCGAGGCGGCCGGTGGTGGCGATTCGGCACGACGCGACACTACATTCATGTGCTCGTAGCTGCCAACCTGTAAAAAGCACAATGTATACTAATAATATAAAACACGAATAAAAAAAGTCTCTTTTTTTTAACTTCTGAAGAGTCCACACATACCCTAGATTCCAATTCTTCGGCTCTAGCTTCGGTGCTCTGTTTCTCCTCTTGAATGAGACGTATTTCTGTGTTAATAGCATCCAACTGTTCTTGCAGCATCAGAGCCAAAGCGGCGGCGTCGGTGTGGCCTTCGGCACCTTCGGATTCGTCGTTCTGAAATGTTAGGTTAGGTTAGGAAATTACCTTTACACTTTTATGCATAGATATGAAACTATCTTATACGATAACAAATTCTACCATTATTTTTGACATGATCCTGTCACGATTCGACCCACGACGTTTCGTGCTAAACGCAATGCTAGACATGTTTAACCCGCAGAGCCGAATAAATAAAATAATCGTACCTCAGCATCGCTGGTAACGTCAAACACTTGTTGCACATTTGCTAGTACGTGAGCTTGATGTAACTTCTCCCAAGAACCGTCCAGCTGAAAACGAAACAGATGTTATGAATGTCTGATTGGGGCGGCGATTACTCTACGAGTATAAGAAAATAATAAATGTACTTTGGGTTGGAACAGCCCCGGTGGCGGCGGTTGTGGCGCAGCAGGCGACAGTGAACGAGTGAGCGCATCCGTTTGTTGAATGTTGAACGCAATCTCCTGCTGAAGCATTTGCCGTTTTAGCTGAAATGAAAAAAATACAAGAAATTAAATATGTAATACGTTGTAAAAAATAAGGTAAGCTAACCAGACTAGGAGAATTTTGTAACGTGATAGTCAATGATGTATGCCATACAGACAGCCGAGCATGGCAGGAAGCGACGTGACATTGTCGCTTTGTCATATTCGACCCGCAGTTATACTAATTTTTACTATTAGTAATCAGTCAATCTGTACTCTTATTTTTCTGTTTGTTTCCTGTATTCTTAAATAAATAATTAGTAACCAAAACAGTATCTGGTTTTCATGTAAATATGTTTTCTTTTGTAGGTTTTTACCTGTTCAGTCTCCATTCTCCACTTGGCCAGTTCCTTGAGAATCTCCTGCTTCTCCTGCAGCAACTCGTCTGCATATTTACGCGTTTTCTCCAATTCCTGTTGCAATGCGTTCTTCTCTTCCAATGCGTGCATTCTTTCCTTTAGATGAACTTGCAACCTGACAAATTAATATACGTAATTGACGAGCCGTTCGGCTAATAATCGATGGATTGTGGGTTGTGGGTTCGATCCCTACCGGGTCCAATACGGGACTTCGTCTATGGAAATATCGTTTTTAAATGACGAATCACACGCCGCAGATGAAAAAGCCATAAAGTTAAAACGCGTTTCAGTCTGTGGATTTGCGAATAAGTCAACAAGAAACAGCCAAAATAAGTCGATAGCGCATTTTGTTTAGATGTTATATAACGAGGTATTTCACTTTCCATCAAGTGAACCCCTCCCCCTTGTTGGTCCTCCTGTCATCAAAAATCTTGTTTTTTTTTTCTTTCTTATATTTTAAGAACTACTCGAAGAGGTAGCTTGTCTACTGTAGTGCCACCTCTTATGTAGTGATTTATTTCACTATATATACCAAATTATTGAATATCAAATACCTTAATCAATACCAAAATTCTGATAACCTCGGTAAAAACATAACAATGAAACAACACGCGAAGTCTGTCTGACACACACCTGTCGTTAGACTCGGAGAGCAGTTTGTCGACGGTGGCCGACAAGCGAGTGTTGTGCTCCTCGTTCATTCTCAAGCGCTGATTTAGTCTCATGAGCTCGGCGTTTTTCTCTTCGACGCTCGCCTCGAGCCGTTGAATTCTGTCTTCGGCGGATCCGTGCCGCTCTTGCGCCTGGAAAGACAGAGAAAATATATCAGGGCAAAGTTTCAATCATACTAAATAAACGATCAAGTAAGGGGGTAGAAATTTAAAAGACAACGTTAGTTCTTAGTTAGTTTCACCCTCATTAGTCACAACAACTGATCTCTATGACGAAGCGCATGAGGGATGGAAATGAATCTACCCTACAGAAATTACAACAAAATCTCTCGATTTCGCTGTTGACCTTGATATATGGATTAAATAGAAAAGAAATAAACTTTAACATTTTATATTATTACTTAATAAAAGTAAAAAGGTCAAGTCAAGTAAAGAATTAGATAGAACGAATATATTATTACTTCGGAATATTGTTCGAAGCATGCTTTAAGAGCAAAATTAAAATGGCATCGGTTTAAAAATATAGTATTTATTGCGTCATTCTACAGCATGCTGTTCCATAATCCAAGGTCAACGACCTACCTGGCTGAGGGCTTCCATCCTGGCCTTGAGCTGCTCTTCCATCTCCGGTAGAGAAGACATCTGCGCGAGTTTCTGAGTGGACAGTTCGAGCTTCTCCTCAATGGCCGCAATTTTCTCTTCTTGCAGCTGAAATGTTAAGTCATGGCGGTGGTATGGGTTACGTGAATGGAATGGATGCGCTAGGCTCGACTGTCGGCAGCTATGAAAACTAGCTCACTCATTATAGAGTCCTTTTGAATATTAAACTTCAAAAGTAAAACAGTTTTCTTTTTTTTAAAGAGTTACGTAGATAATATCAGTTAATAAGGTATGTACCCTGAATCATAAATGTTCGCTTAGATAGATACACAAAGAAAACAGGTCTACATTAATAACGAACATAAAAAAATGTTTAGTCTTTCAAGACGAGTGAACGAGATTAAAGTAGCAGTCTAAAGCACATATTGCACTGATTTCAACACTGTTAGATTTTGTATTGTAAAGAAAACATGGACGGAATACATAACATGGACTTTTGCAGTAGATGACCTACCTTTAGCTGGGCTTGTTTGTGCTGAAGCTCTTGTTCCAACTTCTCGTTCAGATCGTGCAAAGAGGTCGACTCGCGTTGCGCGTTCAGATATCGCTTTTCTAAAGTAGCTATTCTTTCCTCCTGAAAAAAAATTAGATGTTAAATAAATGTTTTGACCGTAATATCTATAATTAAATAAAAATGATAATGATTTAATTGTAAAAAAAAATAAATATTTGTATTATTTTGTAGGTAAAATTCTCCGGCTGATAGCATCGAAACACTATGAGCTGTCGATCTATTTTTTAGGCTTTGGCTATTCGGAAATCCACAGACTGAAACCAAAACGCGATTAAACTTGACGGCATTTTCTTCTGTGGACGGTGGTTCGTGACCCAGACGGAAAATCGATATTCACATTTCGAGACGAAGTCCAAAATTTTTCAGAAAATTTGATTAGGAAAATGTTGGTCGCGGTGGAGATCGAATCTACGACCCGATGAGCCGAATTACCTGATCCTCTTTTTGGGCGACGTTTTCTCTCAAATCCCTCTGCAGCTTGGCGCACTCGTCTTGTTTCTTCCCCAATTCCTTCTCCCCTTTCGACAATTTCTCTTCCAAATCTGTCACTTTGTTATTTAGTTCCGCTACTCTTCGCTGCCAGGAACTCAATTCTGCCGACTGTAATGTATGATAATGCAAATAGAGATCTCACGAGGATTCAATCGTGAGGACGACCTTTCATCATTCTTCCACATAGCAAAGATGTTTGGAACTATAGGTAACTAAGTAGTTTTTCTACTAAATAAACGGTAAAGACGGTGACACAACATGCATTGATTCATATGCGGTTTATTCGTACTTGGTGAGCGAATATATAAGGCTTTGTATATTTGTTCGTGATCGTTAGATTACGTAGATGTAAGTTAATACATATTTTTAAGTAGTGGGTAATGTGACTGAAGCGAAAGCTTGATTCGATAATTATGAAGGGCATGTGTTATAGCGTTATGTGGTTATTCTTTACGATGTGATACAAATATTATCGGGTTCTACTAGTCTTCACTAACTGCGTCTTAATAATGTTAGTAGGAATTTTATTTAGCGAGGAATGTCACATGTGCCAGTGTCGATGTATAGTCTACGGTCGGTATACGCCCTAACACAAATTACTTATCAAATACATATATTAACTAATACTGAATGTAATAATACTCTCTCATGTACGTTATATAGCTATATATTTTATAAAAAAAATATCAAGCTAGTCGAACGTCGATACGTTACTAAGAAAATACCAGCAAACAGGAAAATGTTAGGGCGTGTGCAGATAATATGCGGTAGAATATGAGGTAGAGTAAGGCCAAGTGATGCTGACCTGCTTAGCGACCGTGTTTTGTAGCTCAGTTAGTTTCTTGCCCGTCTCCGACTCACCGTTAACAATACTCTCCTGCGCCAACCATCAAAATAACAATTTATCCATTACTAGCTAGGGTTGTAAATAAATCTGACACGACCGCTACAAAATGCCTCAACTGCCGTACTAAGTAGGTAATAGTCAAAATATTCCCCTATCACTTTACTTCACAGCAATAAAAAAAATCAACTATAACACGCTACGGCCTATAAACTTACCCATACTTTGATTTCCTGATAAATTCCCCTACAGCAGTACACTGCATTTTGCATAGTTTACTTTAATATTAATCTTTCTTACATATTGCTGTTATCCTGCTAACGATTCCATAAACCCGTTTCCCGCATCGCAGGCAACCAGCAGATCTACGAAGTCATAAACAGTAAATACGTGGCAATTGTCCCACTGAATGTACCTTAGGCTGTGCCTGTTCGCCGTTCTGCTCGGGCGAGCCCGTGGACACGGTGCCATTTTCCTTTGGTTTATCGTCTTGGCCGGACGACGTTTTGTATTGCTGTAACTGTAAAAGAAACATTTTTCAACTATTAAGAATAGCTAACAGAATAGGTCCAATGTAAAGGGGGCTCCTTTAGACACCCGCAATGCATTTCAATGGAATAATATTTGCACGGAACCCAGCGTTTACACTGCTAACGCTTGCCCTAGCTAGTTAGATATGGCACGATTAATTTACAAGTGTATTTAAATACGTCTATAGTTAACGCGAGTAGTACACAATTAACTAAAACACTATAACGGTTTAAAATGCGATATATATTAGTTAATTTTATTTGAAAAATATTTTATCTACAGCCCGACGTTTCGGATGCTTTGCACCGGCTAATAAGTTTAACTAATATTTATATCGCGTTTTATTCGTGTTATCTTCGTTAGTGTTTTATTTAGATAGAAGTGTATTTGCCTCAATTATGACACAACAAGATTGGCGTATAGGAGTAACGTCAAATCTTACAATAAACATAAAAATGGTTAAGTGCAGAACATTATAGTACTAACTTCTTCTTTGGTCAACGATAATTCCTCTTCTAGCGCTGTATTCCTCTCTAACGCTACTCTTAACCTTTCTCGGACCTAGAAATTACAAAATTACACATACACATGTATACATAAATATTGTAATAGGTAAATAAAAGTATTTTTTTATAATTCCATTCATTAGCTCAAAGTTGATTTGCCTTTGCCCTCGCGATATCAATATAAACATTCTTGGAATATCCGTAGAGCTTCTCGGCGAGTTGCGCATGTCGGTTCAATAACGGTACTATTACGGCGTTTATGCATAACACAAGTACAATAAGAACAATACCAATAACTTTATATTACAGAGGAAAATTGTAGGTACCATAGTTCAGCAAAACATTGTATTATTTACCAAAAACTCCAAAACTACGAAAACGCCCGCTGCGATTAGAAAACAATATGAATAACCTTCTCGTCCAGTGCCTTGTGGTGTTCGAAGAGACTCTTGAGCGCCTTCAGAACTTCCACTTCGGATGAAACGCCCGACTGGGCGGCGGCCTGCCGCTTTACCACTGTCATACGCAGCGAACGCTCGTGACGCGATACCAGACATTCTAGGTGTTCTAGAAGTAACTAGAAAAGCAATGGATATGAATTATTCACAAATCCAATTCAAAATGACGGCTTAGCGTAGCCTATAGTTGTATGTTTTATGCATAAAGTCAAAAATATCGTCATAACTGAAGTTTCCGTATGTACGCCGGAGGTTTCTAGAAAAGGCCCTACTCTGTAAAATAGCTGGCTGAACGAGTGATGATATAAAGAGGTTTTTTAAGCGAATTAAATGAAAAAATGTTATTTGTTAAATATCTCAATCAAAAGCCAGCCGGGTCTAAAAACGGTTGTCGGTCGGGCAAACTCAGAAAAATTCTTTTGTCTGTCTGTTAAATGTTTACACACATTTCACGTTGGTAACGAAGTGGTGATACCTGATCGTCCATTCTCGATTTCGTTTATCCCGCTTATTTACAAAACCCTAACGACGTTCTAAAAAAAATTAATTAAAGCCGTTCCAGATTCGCGTTCATTTAGTTTTAATTAATGTCCCGAATCCTGAACACCTGAATTGACATTTAAACTTGGCAAGAATAGTGAAAACGAGTAGATAAACGCTTTTTAATATACAAAAACATTACAGTGATATGGAAAAAATGTTGATGCATAATTTAATGCATACTAATAACAATTCAGTCTGAATACCTCCTACTTACTTACTGATATTCACTTCCGGATAGTGGATTTATAGCACAGATAGCTTGAAAATGAACTCAATAGAATACAGCTACCATAAATTCGTATTAAAAAACGATAGGTACGTCGTATTAGTTGAAAAAAGGGAAAAATCGGATTTGTTTCTCTTCGAATGTAGTGTAGCACAATAGGAACAACAATAGTTTTTATGAGAAAATAGATAGTTTTATGTGTTTGTCAGAAGTAAACATACTGCGTCTAGACTCGAGACAGCTAAGCTAAATAATGCAAGCTTCTACATATTTATAAGAAGCTAACAATTGCCTGTGCGCAAACTGAGACACAATGAACACTAGATAAATAAATATATAGCTACGAGGACTTAGGCCGAAGTTGCAAAATTGGAGTTATTAGTTATCATAATAAAAGCTATTTATTGGAAATAGTTATTTATACTCAAATCAAATAAAAAATCATTTATTCATGTAGGTACACTTATGAACGTCAAAACTGGTAAAAATTTAAAACACTAAATTTACAGTTACTACCAGTTTCCAAGTTAGGGACTTGTAAAACCATTTTAAAATAATTTGATCGGTTTAATATAACTAACTAATAAACGCAACATATTCTCCATTCGCTTAGATTGCGCAAGTGCTGAATTTATAAATGAGATAAGAATAAGAGCAACAAGCTCAGTAGGCTGGGTTTAATTCCCGAATAATCTTATATTGTACACCTCGCCTGAGTAAGTCTTTAGACTTACCCTCGTATTGTTTCTCTCCGCCTTGAGTTCCGATATCTCCTCTTCTCTCTCTAAGAGATGTTCGCGTGCTTGATTCAACTCCTTCGTAAGCGTTGCAAATTCCTGTAACCAAGAGAGCTTCATATGGTTTAAGGTTTCTTGGCAAAACGTGGATACCAAACGAAATTAGACCCATTTTGTAAATAAAACAATATTTTTTAAATAGTAAAAACTTGCTTCCATTGTAACCATACAATACGGTTAACGTAAACGACCAAAAAAGCAGAGACAAAGAAGTTACTGTCATCTTTAATAAAACCTTTTCTAGAAAGGTGCTTCACGGATCCAACGTCAAAGCTTCAAATTAGCGCCTTCGGCCTGGAAGTGAACTTACGCTGCGGTCACGTTGTAAGAGCGATAGAGGGAAAGTAGCGAAGAGTAGAGAAAACAAAATAGTGATTGACAAACAACATCACTGATATGGGGATTACGAGATATAGCGGCTAAATAATGCATAACTAAAAGATGAGCGTCCATTACGCGTTTTCAGGGTTTAATATATACTGGCTCTAAATAGGAAATATCGTAAATAACAGTTGTGCTTGCAAAGATTTCAATAAAAAAGAAAAACTATCTCATACATGATTGTCATTCTAGATGTTTGTACATTACAGTACAATATAAAGTAGGACTTATTTACGGAATATAATACTAGCCGATTTTAAAAGAAGTAAACCGCCGGCAAACCAACGGAGCAACTAGTTTATTACAGTAGTCTGAAACGCGACTCAAAAGCTGTTTTTTATTTCCGATTATATGTTGTTTTTAATTTTATTTGTACGTTTTGCCTCTCTAACTAGAATATGACCACGGCTGGGTTTTATTCCGACGCATTCTTGTTACGCAGAACGCGCGACACGAGCACCCTCACTTTGATCTGTTTAACAGAGGGCCCACACGTGTTAACATCGTACTCAAATTGAAGGCAGGGGCGAAGGTGTAAAATGAAGTTAGGGTATCTTTCCGAAAAGCTAGAGATCTACAATACTCCTTAATCCCCTTCCATTCTGTCTTTGCCGTTCTTTCAGATTTAGCGAAACAAAAGAAAGGTTGACACAATTTTAAAATTCATTTTGTTGAATAAGGGTAACGAATAAAAAAATGAATCCAACTTAAGACTAACGTTCGTAACGCCGAGAGTAGCCCAAACCAAGTAAGTAAATATTTATTTTGTAGAGTTGTTTACAAGAGGTGTGAAACAAGTTAGAAGGTCATGTAACGTTTAGTAAGTAAAAAGTTACAACTGTAGAGGTATTTCCGATCGAATTGATAACTTTGGGGGCACTGAGGCGCTTTCTTGTACTAACTTTGCTACGTGCCCGGAAACCGGATGCTTTAGCCAATGCTGTGTTATTGGAAAATCATTTTATTACTCCAGCATTTAATTAATGTTTATTAAGGTCCGATGTATACACGAAGATCAATTTTCGTAACCGTGGAATAAATAAAGCGACAGGAGGTGCTTCACGCCCTCTTATCCCGCTGCGGCCTAAATGATGCCAGTTCTAGCAATTAAGCTTTCTCGAAAGTAATATACTACACTTATATTCGATGATTAAGAATTATACCGCAACGGTGTAGAAGCGAAATCTCATTTTTCCCAGTGGGGAATGAGGCGAACACATGTTTGTGTCCGTTTCACTGGAGATTTTATTTACTGTGCCTGTACCGCCGAAACTGTATTGTTTTCCGGGATGAGAATCCTAGGTAACGCGTTTTAGCATTGTGCTACGGAGGCGGTCAAACGTGTAGTGAAATAATATTGTTGTACATTATTGGGGCTCAGATTAGTGGAAACAATTGAGTAATTACGTGTAAGCGAATGAAACCCGACTCTGTAGATAGAATAATTACACCAATACAATTTGCCATTGGCAACACTCCGAATGCGGTGATGTCGAGAGGAACAATTTGTTCCCCGTTGTCGTTCAAACTCTGAATAAATATATTGTTATCTATAGTTTATTGACCCTTAGCGTAACCTCTCACTAAGAGTACATTTCATAAAAATAATAACAAACAGATATAGAAATGAATATATTAATTGTTGAAACGTTTTAAAAGCCTTTTGTTTGTTGTAACGAGCACAGTTCTTTTACTTCCTTTCACCTTCAATTAAAGAACGACATCTAATGATCTCAAATCTGACCTTTGGTAGGAATTAAGGATTGAAAAATGACCCCTAATTGTCAGGATTACGGCTTCAGACAGGGGGTGGATGACCTCTCTCTTTCATCGGTAGATAATAGCTTGTCATTGTAGATAAGTTGCTCTCGAGAGATTTTTAAGTACATATAATAAAAATCAAACAATATCGTTGTTGACCGGACCTTTTTGGAACTATTTTGTATAAAGCCGTAAATTCTATAATTACGTAAGCAGTTCACGGTTAGGTGTATATGTCCACTAGTTTTAAAGAGTAAATATTATGGTCTCCCTTTAAATTTGAATTTTATGAAATATGTTGATGTTTAAGTTTAAATGCGCCGCTCCCCCTAGGCAAATGCAGGCGTAATTACGCACTCTGCACAATTACAGGAATCATACATACTGAACCACGGATGACGTGGTTTTAAAAACAAAGATGCGACAGAGGAAATACAACATCTACGTGGGCACGACTCGTCGGCTTACTTTTGTTGAAATTAATCTAAATAGATACGTAAATATCTAGTTTACTATAAGCAATTTTCTTTTCGTCCTCAAATTTTAGTATTACTGTGTGAATATAAATCCATTTGAAGGAAATATCAGTTTGATTAATATTAATATAACATTGATATAAAAACATCAATATATTTTTATGTCGATAACCTATTCGAATCAATTGACATGCGTGCACTCTCACCTGTAAAAGGGCAGTGTGAACACGACAAGAGCACACAGCGCCATTTTTGCGCGAGCACGGCGCGCCAAGAAGTGCGCACGCGCCGCCGCGTAACATCGCGCGCAATCATCCCTTGCCTGGTCTTGCGCTCGATGTGGGTAACACTTTTACGTCCGCATTTTCAATTAAAACTCTCCTTGCATTTTAGAAATTGAATACTGCAGAGTACTCACAACAGGCACACGATTAGTTAACTAATTTAAATCTTTCTGATTACTATAGAGGAGCTTCGTCTAGTCGGTTAGGCGCATATGCAACACACAAAAATTGAGATATTTGAGAAATTATCTTCCGCAATAAACGATCGTAGTTGTTGAATCCCATTGTTGATATTTTTCAAGTAACAATGGCTGAACACTTCCATCCGTTTGGTCAAGACGCACACGCTCGTGCGAGTTAATTATGTGTAAAATGGTGGATAGAACAAAAGGTTCCCCACAATGGCGACAAAAGAAAGGGTACAAATTGAAATTGCAGTGTTGTTGTAGTTCAGGACTTCATTATTCAACGTCCGTCGGACGCCGGAACTCGGGTTCGTACGAAGAAGTCCTTTTGCCTCTCCGAGCTAGGCCGAACATTTATTCAATACGCGCATGTTTTCTCATTTAATTGTTATCCGATATAATGTGAAAGCTTCGACCGAGAAACGTTTATACGACAGCATTATTTGTTCATAATAGTTCGATAAAGTTAATTTGTTAAAACTCCAAGTTGGCCGCCATGTAAAGGTGATAAGGATCGTATCAAATTCGAGTGAAAGAGATATGACACGAAGCAGATTGCTATCCCTGGAGATTACCCTCTGCTCCCGACCTACTGTGATTGTAATTCACGATAATAATATGCCCAAGGTAGCCGTCGCCATTTCGCAGAATTCACAGACGTATGAAAGAGACGGGCTCGTTCCTTAACATGTATCTCTTGGTCAAAGGGTCGCGGCGACTATTGACATTTTTCTGAAGTATATTAAGACCTTGTCTGCGAGACCTGGATGTTAAAGGGGAGGACAGCTAAAGTAAGTCGACAGTTAAATTCACCTTCTTGACTAAATCCTGTGTCATTAAAAAGAAGAGAAACGCGTTTCAAATCAGTTTACTATATTTTTCCACTTAACCGTTTTGAAAACTCGTAATACGTGCATGTAGATGGTTGAACGCGCTACAGCTGCTAACAGCCTCTAACAAGTTTTCAGTTTTCACACGCAATTAGCTCACATCGGGTCAAGGGTCGCCTGCAGCGATATTTATCGGGCCGCGTTATAGAGGTAGATCCATCAGTTAAACCCCCACATAAATAGATTTAGGATAGAGTAAAACCGAGATACAATTTTTTTCAAAGCCCAACTGATTTTATGTTCTTCATAGGTATACTCTTCGCGAGTAATTATTAAAACCCTCGGTCGAAGCTTTAAAACGTTGAAAGTAGCTATAACGTAAAATGTCTTCCAGTAAACCAATTTATCTCTCGCGAAGACTAACTTAGACTCAGTGAACCGAGGCTAATTTGCCGATATCGCATCAACAGCGAAACACTTACAAACTCTATAGACCAGCTCGGTTGGCGTTTTTATGGAAGCTGAATATTACTAGTAAGGACTATACAGTAGGATTAGCTACACTACATACAAACGGACGGAGATTATTAATTATCTCGTTTTGTTCTTTATGAAAGAGAGACAAAGAGTTTTAGTTGACCCATGGTGACTAACTGTTGGCAAATTATCTCTTTATATCTCCGTAGCAAAGAATCAGGTTGCCAGTCTCCCTTGCGGTCGAGTGGACTTAACGCACCTCGCCCCACGGTACGTCTCCGCGTAGAGAATGCTCTTTGAACAAAAATAGATTGCACTGAAAAGCTCCAAGATATATGTGAAGGTTAACGGAGGCTTAAACTGTGACCTCGACCTGTTAGATCAGTCTTTGTTTAAATAAAATTGGAATAGGTTTCGTTTACATAACCGCGTGTGGAGTGTTTGGTTTCCGCCGCGGGCGAGACCTCAACCTATAGACGTAACAGCCTCGTGCCGTAGAACACAGATTCCTCTCAAACTTTATACGAGCTAGAAAACTATGTCTTAGTATCGGGAAACGAGTTAAAATTTGTACGTAAGACAACGCTCCGCACTCATTTGCGAGATAATTCAGGAATACCGAGGATAATTGCGAATATGGTAATA